ATCTGCCCTGGCCGGTTTGGCTCAGCAGTTAGAGCATGGTCCAGAGAGTCCCGGGTTCAGTTCCCGCTAAGGGCACGTACCTCAGTTGCAGTTTGTCCCCGGCCCTGGTTGGTCATGCGGGTAGTGCGGGTGGCGGCCACTCAGTGTGTCCCTGTCACGTCGATGTTTCTCTCTTCTCTCTCTCTCTCTCTCTCTCTCTCTCTCTCTCTCTCTCTTCCTCTCTCTCCCTCCCACTTTATCTCAACCAAAGGAAAAATGTCCTCGGGTGAGGATTAAAAAAAAAGAGAGAGAGAAAGGATCTGATAGCAGTGAGGTCGAACTACATGAATGACCCTAGGTAATCAACCATTTTGACCTCCAAAGATGGCAATTTCATTTGGTTGAAGCTAATATTTGTGAATTAACCTATGACATGTTCGTGTTTTAAAGTGGTGCCTTTGCTTGTTAGGGAATCTTCTTTCTTTTTTAGGTTATAAAAGTATGATAACACACATTTACAGAAACTTGGACAATATTGAACAAAATCATAGCTCCACTACATAGTACAATTATTATTTTGTGTATTCACTCTCAGCATTTTGTAGTCATATCTGAAATATTTATAATTGTGAATAATAATCAAGCGTTTGATTATCCCATAAAACAATGAACTGCTAGCCTATATTTCCTCCTCTCGGATAAGAAGAAACTCCACTGAAATGTCTCTGAGGTTTCTTGTGTTTTTATTATTTTGTGTCTCTATGGCCAAATGAACTTGAGTACATTTTAATTAATCAAAACACTAATTTCTGCATATCTGTATCTTCAGGCCTTATGGTTTATTGCTCGTGTACTATAACTATTTGCTTGTTTTCATTTCCCATGAACAAAGGTGACCATTTTTTTGCATGAGGGCCAATTAAAAAAAAATGTTTATCAACACATTTTTTTCACTCAAAATAAATAGCTTTATTAGGGCCTTTAGCATAAAATATATATTTAAGAAACAACCATGGCCACATCCTGCTTCCTTGTTACTCAGTTTGTGTGACTCTTTTAGATTACATAGTGGTCTACACACATGATCTCATGTCAAGCTTTGACAGGGTTCCACAGCAGCACCTCACCCTCAGGGAAGCAAAACTGACGCGCGGCATTTACAGAGGGCCGCTGTGTGCCGAGGACACAGGGAACAAGAGAGAGGGCTGCCTGTGGCCTGTGGGTTACAGAACAGTGACAATGATTTCAACCCGGGAGAGTGCACAGGGAAGATTTAACAGTTTTTCTATAGTTTTGACAGTGGTTCTCAAACTTTGAGATTTGAGAACTAATGAAAATAATACAAAGGCCCAGGCTCATTAAAGAAGGCTAGGACCTGGACCTCTACATTGCCATCAAATTCCTCAGGTGATCCTGATTCATACCAGTGTGTGTGTGTGTGTGTGAGTGTGTGCGGGCGCGTACGCCCACGCGCGCCCACACATGCGCACATTCACACGTGCACAAGAATGCATGCATGTTATAGGAACTGTTTGCATATTTACTAAAGCAAAAAACTAAAGGTTAAATTATAGCATGAAGCCTTCAGATTACATGCAAGAGCAGAAAGAAAATGTGGGAGGAAGTCTGTAGCCATGAACGGGCTTCCTTGGGAATGGTTTGAAGCAGTGGTTCTCAGACTTCATTCTGCACCCCAGCTGCCTGGAGGGCTGGTCAAAACAGGCTGTTGGGCCCCACCCACCACAGACTCTGTAATTCAGTAGGTGGGGTGCTGCCACACTCTGGGAGCATTGGTGCGGATGAGCACAGTGTGCTGAGCCCTGCCTGCACTCCGGCATCATGAAGAGGGAGTTTGCAAGTGTTGACGCCAGGCCTCACCCCCAGAGATCCTGATACAATAGGACTTCAGTGGCGCCTGGATTTGAGTCTGGATAGCGCAGTCAGGGTTGAGAACCACGGTACTAAGTTATCTTCCTAATGTCCTTCTCCCCACTCAGAATCGATGCTCTGACTGGATAGTTTTAAAATGCATTCCTTGCCCTGGCCGGTTTTGCTCAGTGGTTAGAGTGTCCGCCCGCAGACCAGAGAGTCCTGGGTTCAGTTCCTGCTAAGGGCAGGTACCTCGGTTGCAGTTTGTCCCTGACTCCAAACCGGAGTCTGGGGTCGTGTGGGTGGCAGCCACTCCATGTGTTTCTCTCACACTGATGTTTCTCTCTCTCTCTTCCTCCCTCACTACCTCCCGCTCTATCTGAAGGTAAATGCAAAAATGTCCTCGGGTGAGGATAAATAAATAAATAAAATGTATTTCTTTCCATGATACACAAGTAAAAGAGCAGCTTTTAAATTCAGTTAATTTTTTACTTAACAATGCTGCCCTCTAGTGTTCTTAAATAGTAGAATCGGGTAAAAACCCACCTCAGCCATCAGTATGATTTCCTGTTAGCTAAACACTTGGGGGATTTTTCCCTGACATTAAAAAAAATTAATATGTATTAAATTAAATTTTATTTTCTGGCAACATGAATCTCCAACTGTGGCCTGTTAGTTCTCTTGTAATTCCTTCCTGCAGCCTCCTCCAGGATAAGAAAGAATTCCTGGATTAAAGTTTTTACTGCAAATAAAACTGCACATTGGAGTTCTGGTCTTTTTCTCTTTTCCTTCTTTTTTTAAAAATATGTTTTATTGCCCTGGCCATTTTCTCAGTGGTTAGAGCGTTGGCCTGCGGACCAGAGTCCCAGTTTGGTTCTTGCTACAGGGACATACCTTGGCTGCAGTTTGTTCCCAGTCCCGGTTGGGGTTATGTGCGTGGCAGCCACTCAGTGTGTCTTTCTCACATCGATGTTTCTCTCTCTCTCCCCCTCCCTCTCTCCCTCCCACTCTATCTGAAGATAAATGCCAAAAAATAATAATAATAAAAAATAAGCCCTGGCCGGTTTGGCTCAGCAGTTAGAACGTCGGCCTGCAGTCTGGAGAGACCCAGGTTTGGTTCCCACTAGGGGCACGTGCCTCAGTTGCAGTTTGTCCCCAGTCCTGGTTGGGTCATGTGGGTGGCAGCCACTTGATGTGTCCTTTTCACATCGATGTTTCTCTCTCTCTCTCTCTCCTCTCTCTCCCTCCCACTCTATCTGAACAAAATATCAAAAAGTGTCCTTGGGTGAGGAATATATATATATATATATATATATATATATATATATATATATTTTATTGATTTTTAGAGCGAGAGGGAGAGAAAAACATGGATCAGCTGCCTCCTGCACGCCCCCTACTGGAGATGAAGCCCACAACCCGGTCATGTCCCCTGACCAGGAATCCTACTGGTGACCTCTTAGTGCACAGGTCAACGCTCAACCACTAAGTCACACTAGCTGGCTTTTTCTCTTTCTATACATCCTATTTTTAAATAAATTTTAGGAACAATTACAGGGGCAATTTGTGATACTATTATCAATGTGGCTCAAAAAACATTGTTTTTCTCAGTACTTGGTGAGAAGTGCCTTCATCCTATCAAGGCAAAATGAGAAGAGAAAGCTAACTTTGTTCATGTGGTCCATTTTACAACTTTTGTCCTTTGGTTCTTTTTCAAATTGTAATACTGGGATAGATCAAACCCAGCTACAAGCCTTACAATACTATTTTTGATTATAGATTGTTCTCGAAGATAACTACTTTGCTCTGACAAAGAAAAAGGATTCGTGGAGTTTTCCTTCACCAAGCTCAACTGTGCAGGGTCAGAGGCCAAGCAATCAGGGAGAAAGAAATTACCAGCAACTGAAGTATCTAGGACATTGGAGTGTCTTTTATAGGCTCTTCTATGCTCAGAACTATCTGTTCTAATCTTTTCCTCACTTCTCACACCACCTCATTTTCACTTGACTGATCATTTACTGAGACTAGAATTCATCCAGCAGGAGCTCCCATGTCTTCCTATGACGAGGTCTACAACCCTCCTGGGTCCCACCAGCTTGAAAGAAGTGTCCTTCCCCTACCCCTAACTCTGCCCTCCTCCATCTCAACTTTACAAGTCTCTCTTCCTAGTTCCTCTGAGTTAGTTTAGTTTGCTTATAAGTCGAATTCTACCTCTGTTGGGTAGAAATGGTGAGTAAAAGCATTCCCATCTTCCAGAGAAAGAAACCAATTTCAAATGGGTTCTACAAAGCTGACCTGCTTTGTAGAAGAAATCCAACCGTGATTGTGTCTTTTCACTCAGCTGAACCTGAGGCTCTGCATGCTCCCTGGTTCTGTATCACATCTGGCTGGTGCCAACGTATTAGCTGGACTCCACCTCTGTGGGGAAGGGATTCGTTGTCCTGTTTAGGAAATGTGATGTCAAGCTGAAAGAGGCACTCTGGGTGGGGCCCAAACAGCGACCCCCACCCCAGTGAAATTCATTAATCACATTGGTGTCTTAGAATGAAATTCTGTTCAAAGTGGTCAAGAACAAGTAGTGCTATTGTGGGCTGGGAGCCACTGTGGCTTCAGCTGTTTGTTCAGCATTTAGTATGTTTATCTTTCTGCTAAATACATTGTTGTTGAGTCATCTCTATTATACAGCCCCTCTGTGTGAGGCCCAGCTCTGCAAATCCAATACACAAAGGCCAGCCTTCTATCCTCAATGACCTTACATTCTACAAAGTCAAAACAAATGCTTTCTCTTACTTTAGTGAGCAAAGTACCCAGGTTCTGAAGGAGGTTAATCATGTGCTCTTTTATCAGGTCAGGAACCATGAAGCAATAAAAGTAAAGGAAGAACTTAAAGTGCTCATTATGTTTTTAATATCATTTAATGCTGTGGCTGCAAGTGGAAATGGAAAGTCAATTTACCCAAAAGCACCACCAGCCTCCACACCATTAATATTTCATGACAGACTATTATGTTGTCACCAATGTCAAAGCAATTATATTAATCAAATACTTGGATTAAACTTCTAAGCTTTGGGCAAGGAAAAAACAAAAACAAAAAGACCACATTAACTTGGAAGAGTAGAGAAACTCATGAAATGCTGTGTGACCTTCCACAGAAATCGTTCGAGCCATGACACACGTGATAAACCAAGGAATGGCGATGTACTGGGGAACCTCACGCTGGAGCGCTATGGAGATCATGGTAATTCATTTCTATTTTTAAATGGTTGTTGAGCATCTTATTACAGGTATTATTGCACTTTGCTTTGCTTCACAGATACTGTGTTTTTTAACAAAAGAAGGTTTGTGGCAACCCTGCATCAAGCAAGTCTACTGGTGCCATTTTCCCAATATCATTTGCTCACTTTGTGTCTCTGTGTCACCTTTTGGTAACTCACAATATTTCAAATTTATTCGTTATTATTGTATCTGCTATGGTGATCTATGGTGAGTGATCTTCAATGTCACCTTCCACTAGCAAAAAGATTACCTCTTGCTGAAGGCTCAGGTGATAGTTAGCATTTTTAGCAATGATGTAATTTTTAGATTAAGGTATGTATATTGTTTTTTTGGCCATAATTCTATTGCACACTTAATAGACTGCAGCAGTGATTTTCAACCGGCATGCTGCGGCAGGCCCACTGGTGTGCAATACCTGACTGTTTAGTCAGGGGCCCTGACCTCTTTTCCCTTAGACTGTCAAATTTAAAAAATGACAACAGCTAACACAATAGCTGTCTGGTGTGAATGACTCAAAATCGTTCCTATTTTGTTGTCAGATAAGCAAAAATTATATTTTTTGGTGTGCAGCAGAATTTTAGTAATTAGTTTATGTGTGCCATGAGATAAAAAGGTTGAAAATCGCTGGACTACAGTAAAATGTGAACATAACTTCCATATGCACCGGGAAGCCAAACGATTCATAAGGCCTGCCTTATTGCAGTATTCACTGTATTGCAGTGTTCTGGAGCTAACGCCACAGCATCTCCAAGGTACGCCTGTCCTGTTTTTCAGATACCATGTGTACACTGCAAGACTACTTGCAACCTTTCCTCACCATCTGTGACACTAGAATTCTATGATCAATTCCATCACTACAGAGGGGACACGGGGCTAGATCTCATCAGCTCAGAACACAACATGGAGGGTGCAGGGCTCTAACAGGAATCGTGTTTTAGCACATTTTTTGGTGGCAAGAGAGTAAACTGCATTTTTTAGCTAATGAGATATATGAATACAATAGTCTCATTTTCTTTCCAAAACTCTATTAAATAACTATACTGTTTATCACATGCTAATTACAGGTTCTCTGTAGATGCTAGTCTGTTTTATTTCTTTAGAAACCTGCAAATAGCTCAGCCAGTGTGGCTCAGTGGATTGAGCATCACCCCATGGACTGAGAGATCTGGTTCAATTCCCAGTCAGGACACATGCCTGGGTTGCAGGCTCGATCCCCAGTGAGGGGTGTGCAGGAGGCAGCCGATCAATGTTTCTCTCTCACATGAATGTTTCTATCTCTCTCTCCCTTCCTCTCTTGCTAAAATATCAATAATAATTTTTTAAAACATTAAAAAAAAGAAACCTGAAACTAATCAAACTACATTTTATCATCATCTATAATTCACACTCGGACTAATTTGCCCTGGGCTCTCCTCAGTCCAGACCTCCCGAAGAATCATAAGGATTTCTTGCACTGGGTATTTATTGCTCTTAGTGAAACTGATGGTCATAGCTTTGCTTATTGCTCGGCAACCTCCATGTTTCTTGGTTTGTATCGATTTCACTAAAATGAAAATTTCTCATTAATATGAATTACAGGGCAGTCTTATTTCTCATCAGTATAAATTCAGTTGCAATCTTATTTCTCCCTAGGAAGCCTATTCTGTAGCAAGACAGTTCAATATGATCCCTCCAGTCTGTGAACAAGCTGAGTACCATCTTTTCCAGAGAGAAAAAGTGGAGGTTCAGCTACCAGAGCTCTACCATAAAATAGGTAATCTTCACAATCAAATTTTCTGATTATTTTTCATAATAGAAGGCCCAGTGATCTGGGGGGGGGAAGTTACCGAAATGCTTTCCTAAATGCCCCTCGTTAACATAGGGATGCAGGAGCTCTGCGTTCCAGAGATGCGGAGGGGTCAAGTGTGCCATAGATGTGCAGTGTACAGAGTAGCTACAGCAGATATGCAAATGTGACTGGCGTGTAAGCTGTACTCAGTAGGTGTTCAAAAAACGCACACAGAACATCACTAATCATCAGAGATGCAAATTAAAACAAAAATGAGGTATCACCTCACACCTGTCAGAAGGCCGCCATCAACAAATCATCAAACAAATGTTGGTGAGGGTGTGGAGCAAAGGGGACTCTAGTACACTGCAGGTGGGAATGCAGACTGGTGCAGCCACTATGGAAAACAATATGGTGTTTCCTCAAAAAATTAAACATTGAACTGCCATTTGACCCAGTGATCCCACTTCTAGGAATATACCCTAAGAAGCCTGAAACACCAATCAGAAAGAATATATGTACCCCCATGTTTGTAGCAGCACTATTTACAACAGCTAAGATCTGGAAACAGCCCAAGTGTCCATCAGTAGACAAAAGGATAAAAAGCTGTGGTACACAGACACAATGGAACACTATGCAGCTGTAAAAAAGAAAGATCTCTTATCCTTTGAGATGACATGGAGGGACCTGGAAAGTATTATCCTAAGCGAAACAAGCCAAGCAGAGAAAGACAAATATCACATGATCTCACTTATTTCTGGAATATAATGAACTAAACAAACTGATGAACAAAATAGACCCAGAGACATAGAAGTAGGGTACAGACTGACATTTCTCAGAAGTGGGGGAAGAGATAAACCACAGAACTTATATGCATGTACACAGAATCGATGGACATAGACAATAAAGCTGGGGATGGGGTGGGAGTGGATAGGGAGGAGGGAGTCATTGGGGGAGGAGAAACATCTGTAACAAAAATAAATTTAATAAAAAAAATAAAAAACACACACACAGAATGAAGGAACGAAACCATGAACTAATTTTTCATAGGGTGCTGGCTGCAGCCAAAGCAGGCACCTTTGAGTGGACTATGACAGCCTTTCCAAAAAAAATATGAATCTATGTATCTATATCTCCCCTCCATGCCTGGAACCGAGTCAGAGGGGGAATTCAAGGACAGCTCACAAGCCAGGCATTGCATGTTTGTGTAGGTAGATGTAATGACGTCAATGTATACACAAGAATTTTACACATCAGAAAAACAAATAAGCCACATTTTCAGGCTTATTTATTTAAAAAAAAAAAAAAACAGTTTCCAGAGATAACTTTTCTTCCTAAGAAACAGGTTCACATGAGCAGGGAAATGTTGGGTAAGGGGGAAAAGGACTTTAAAAATTCAACAATAACAATTGTTAGTATTGCTATCACGTGTTGTGTGTTTACCACACACTAGGCATTGTGCGTCTGGTACGTGCCAGGCACCACTTAGACACTGAGTGGACAAGCAAAGCGCTGAATTTCTGTGCAAGTAAAAGTGTTTGTGTCTGAGTGTGCAAATAAGTTTGGACATGAATAAGCCACATTTTCCGGCTTGTTTATGTGGCCTGCTCCCTCTAACTGACTGTGCGTGTTTAACTGGTTTATAAAAATGAAGCACGGCTTGTGAATGCCTAAATTTTAACAGAAAGATGTATACTGCTGTATGAATTTTCACCTGTCCAGTTTTTTCCCATAACTCCCCAAGTCACCCCACACTTTTTATTCCAGTCGGCAACAAGCAATTGTCTAAGTCGATTTTCTTCTGCAGGAGTCGGAGCAATGACCTGGTCCCCCCTTGCCTGTGGAATCATCTCAGGAAAATATGGAAACGGGGTGCCTGAAAGCTCCAGGGCTTCTCTGAAGGTACTCCTTCCTCCTCCTGGAGAGTCTGGGCGGGAGAGTGGGGTGCAGAGCGCGAGGGACCAGAACAGCCCTGCGGCACCTGTGGCTTCTGGCTCCTGCTTCTGGAGCGCGGCCCTGGCCCCCAGACGTCCTCTGGCAGGCTCCCCCGAGCCCCGAGCCCCGAGCCTGCCAGAGGCCTCTGCTCATGGCCGAGAATCAGTCAGCCCTCCATACTGTGCCGGCACAGAAAATTCTCCTCCTCTGGGGACTGAGGGAAATGCCCGATGACCTGGTTTGGCTCCGTGAGCTCAAATCCCTACACTGCTTTTTATTCTTGTTTAAAAATGCATTTCATTCCTCCTTTGAAACTGATGAAATATAAAATCCCTTTTCTACATAAGAGGATCTGATTTTACTTTTCTTGACAAAACAAAATTTAATCCATATGAATGTTCTCCATATGGGACAAACCGGTTGTAACCAAGTATGGTTTGAAGTCGGTTGACATTCTTTACCGTGTGTGGGTGCAGGGTCGGGAGAGAGGATTCCGAAAGCAGAAACATAGCCAAGCCTTGTCACCGGGGCTCAAGCCTGGCGTTCAGAGATCAACTCTGGCTGCTAAGTCTCGTAGCTTAAATTCTTTTCTGAAACAGAAAGATATTCAAGACCATTGACAAAATTACCTCCATTCAGAACATCTCAATGATTAATTTATTGGAGAGTACTCCAAACATCTCTTCTTATTAATAACAACATGTCTGTTTTTAAAACCAGACTATGTAATAACATTAGAATCACAAATTACTCTGCAATATTAGGGGAGAGAGAATAGAGGCATTTTCAAAATCCAGACAAGCCAAAGGCCCCTAAAAGGAAGCAGAAGTCGGAAAGCCTCTTGCCTCCATCAGCACAAAGTTGCTGGAAGGTCAGCTGCAGTCAGGCCCACACCACCGATCCCTTCAGTGTGGCTGGGACCGCCACGTGCTTCCCCAATCAGAACCTTCTCAGGTCTGTCACTTTCCTTTCCGCCTGTAACACTTGACCTATTAGATTATTTGTTCTCTAAAGTAATACAATATATAAGTATGGTGACTTGGTCCTATTTCTAGTTTTGCATGATCACAAATATAATTATCCTAGAATAGTAAATATGATCTTGCTTCTGAAAACGGAAGATTGTTCTAACCAAGTCTGAATAAGTTAGCAAAGAAAAACCAAGAAGCATTTTAGGGGAGAAGGTATAAAAGGCAAGAAGCGTGTGGAGAAGGGAGGCAAGCCCTGAAAATTGCAATTTTATTGAGCACCTACTATGTGCCAAACACTAGAAGAGTTTTCAGTCATCTCCTCTTACCCTCACAATGATAAATGGATACATATGGCTTTGAGTCCGTTGTAGCTAAGCATGTTGCCTTAATTCCTTCAGAGACTTTCTGAAAAGCTCAAAATACTTCCACATAGAAGTCAGGTGTTTGTTTTCAAACTATCCTTAGGAGACCTTTCCAGATGTAGAAACTGAGCACAAAGAGGTTGGATACCCATCCAAGAGTAAAAACTCCTAGTAGAGAAAGTTGCTGTGAGAACCCAGGTCTCCTGGCTCTAGTTTATCTCCCCCACACCCAGTTTTTTTAAAGAAGGAAGAAGTACCTACCCTGCATTTGGAGTGTATGATCAGTTAACCTCCATCATTGTTTGGGAAAAGCTTCCAGATAGCTGAAAAGAAACTTTCACAAGTGCACTAACAAAAGGAGAAAGAAAAAATAGGAGATAAAATATATTTGAAGGTTAAGCCCAAAAGCAACTCAGAAGATATTTCTATTTTTAACTTTTATATTATCAACTCAACATCTATTTTGAAACATCCTTAATAATAAATATTAAGGGCCCTCAATAGGTGAAAGGCAGCCAATCATAAATCACTTTTTAGATTACCAAAGACTGTTTAGTCTTCCTAAATCATCAGCCTGAGTGTTTTCTGGACCAATATGAGTGCACTTAGGGAAGTCACTTGAGTAGAGTAACTAAAGGGGCTGGGGGGAGGGGGGCAAGTATCAGGGCAACCTTAGGAGTAAATGAGAATGCGAACAGTAAAATACACACCAAAAAATTTTTTTAAAGATGAGGTTGGCAACTTTCACATACCGCCTCCCCCCAAAGTGGAATAAATGACTGGGGTTTCACAATGGCTGTTGTAAGATATACCAATAAACTAAAGATGCTAATATTTTGTGTTTGTTGTAAAGTTCAAACTGTATATGAGGGAGTAAATGAACCCTGTATGAACATTGCCTATCCTTTAGAAAGCACTAGTACGCAGGGGGTTCTGGGAGACTGCAGGAATGCCTAATGCAACCTGTCCTCACTCCCCGGAACTGGCCCTTCCTCCTTGGCTAACAGTCCGCCCGGCTGTCCTAGTCAGAAGCCAAGGCATTATCTCAGGCTGCCTCGTCTCCTCCCTCACTCCTGTCCAGTGGGGCAGCCATCTGTCCAGTCCACATCTCGGCCCTCTGTGGTCCATCTCCTGGACAGCCCTTGTTCAGATCTTCATCGTTTCTTCCCTGGTTTGCTGCAGTAACCTCCTATTTAGCTACTGAATCCCTGACTTCCTTCCCTTTTCTCAACTACCCACCACTGTGACCAGTTATCTTTCTAAAAAATTAATCTGACCACATGATAACCCTGATTAAAATCCTTTAATGGCTTCCCAATCATTGCTTATAGGACAAAACCCAAACCCCACAGAAAAGCATTCAAGGAAATCCCCTTGGGATCTAAGTTGGGTTCACTTTCCTGTTCTTGTCCCTCCCCAACCATACTACTTTGTCTTCCATCCAAATGCTCTGGACTCTTGCCTCCCAGAAATGCCCTTCCTTTCATCCTGCTGCGGAAGCTCTCTTCATCTCGAAGGACAAAGCTGGGTACATAATAATATGTACCCCTTTGTCAAGAGGAAATAGAAAACATGCAAAGCTACATGAATTAAAGTGGGAGAGAGGGGCAGCCCAAGAACTACAGGTGTTCACGTTAAGAAACTACGGGTAGCTCTGGCCAGTTTGGCTCAGCAGTTAGAGCATCAGCCCATGGACCAGAGTCACGGGTTCAATTCCAGTAAGGGGTACGTACCTGCATTGCAGTTTGGTCCACAGCCCTGGTCGGGGTCATGCAGGAGGCAGCTGGTTGATGTGTCTCTCTCGCTCTCTCTCCTCCCTCCCACTCTATCTGAAGATAAATGGAAAAATATCCTCGGTTGAGGATTTACAAAAAGATAAAGAAACGAAGGGGATTGCACATTATGGTCTAATTTCAAAAGGAAATATTTAGGTCCAGCGTTTTATCTAGAAATTTCAATCTGACTAGTAAGAACTTTGCTGCTCTTTGGAGCCAAAGATGTTGATGTTTAAATAGAAACAGTCAATGATCTTGGATGATAAGTTATTCTAGACAAGGTCCAAAGAAAAATGCGACTGTGTCCGTGGCTCTATCGTTGCTGCCTGAGTTCCAACCCAGGATTATTAACAGCCAATTGGGGGCTGTATGGGGCCAGCCTCACAGACTGTTCCCCCTCCAGTATCATTACCTATAAAGTGGAGACACATAACTAACAGTCACAGCTTTGGAAGACAAGTAGTGGGCTTTAGGAAAGCTTTAGAGAATATTGTGGCCTAATTATAAAAGCAATAGCCCACTAATCTGTGGAGAAAAGCTCTTTCAGTTGTTCCTTTGGCAATTTACCAAGTGTCTATTCTGTTCTGAACTCTGTGCTGGGTGCTGGAGATGCAGGGGTGATGGGACAGCCTCAGCCCTAGGAGCTACTTGACTTGTTCCAGACAGACATGCGAAGGGGTGACTTATGAAACGAGGTGGAATCCCCAGCACTGTGGACCCGCCCAGGACTGCCAGCAGAGTCGTACTGCGTGAGCATGGAGATGCTCCATCTGCAAAGCTGAAGAGATCTAGTTCTACCCTGTGGAGCCGTTTCTGATTCCTCTCTGCCATTCTGGCTGAGCCCCTCCCCTGTGCCCACCAGTGTCAGGGCTGGAGATGTGGAGGTGAATAGGTGAATAGAAGCCATTCCTGCCTTCCTCATAGTGAGAAAGAAATATCAACATGTAATCAAATCACTGCAGCAGTAAGGAAAGCGAAATGATAGGGTGGGAAGAGGAAATTTCATCTTTTGATTATTACCCACAGTCAACAGCCTAGTTCATTATTGTGCACAACCTCACCCTCTGCCAATCTTCTTACATAAATCAATGGTTTATTTCTATAATTAATTAATGTTTTAGTTAAGCCTCATCTCCTCCCTATGCTAACATTTTCCCACTTTTAAAGTAGTTAAAGTGCCCTGGCCAGTTTGGCTCGTGCCCGTAGTGGGAACCGAACTCGGGACTCTCGTTGGCCTGCAGACCAGAATCCCGAGTTCGGTTCCCACTAAGGGCACGTACCTTGGTTGCAGTTTGTCCCCGGCCCTGGTTGGGGTCGTGTGGGTGGCGGCCACTCAATGTGTCTCTCTCGAAGTTTCTATCTTCCTCTCTCTCCCTCCAGCTCTGACGATAAATGTTCCCGGGTAAGGATTAAAAAATAATAATAAAGCAGTGAAAGCTATTTATTTCCAAAACACTTTCATTTACTTTGGTATGAGGAGAGCAGTATAAATACTATGCATTTACTTTTTTAAAATCCTTAACCTGCTTTTTTTCCAATAACTAAGGCAACAATGAGATTTACAGTGTTGAGGGTGGAGTGTGACTCAATAACAGTGCTTCTCAGCATGGTGTGCTCATGCACACACACAGTGTATAACTGGTAATCCAGTCCTAAGAGCCAAAATGCATTGTGCATATGATGTGAAAAATGGATTTCCATAGACCAACCAGTCTTTTTTTTTTTTTTCCTTTATTGATGTTAGAGAGAGATAGAAACATCAATGAGAGAGAACATAGACTGGCTGCCTCCTGCATGCCCTCCACTGGGAATCAGGCCCACCACCTGGGCATATGCCCTGACCGGGAATTGAACCAGCGACCTCTTGGTGCATGGGTCAACGCTCAACCACTGAGCCACACCAGTCAGGCTAAACCAACCACTCTTTATGTGTGTGGTCTATACTGAAATCTCAGGAGCTCTCTTAGTTCTAATAAAAAGTAATTGTTCAAAAAGCATTTGGCTATTGGTCTTCAACCTTTTTAAAATTTGAATAATATTCAGAGACACTGGTTCCCTGAAAGAGGTTATGAAAGTGAGGACTGGTGATGTCTTTCCCAATGAGGACAGCAAAAGTGGGTTCAGGAGCTCTCTGATGCACCCAGCATGCTGCTCAGGGAACGCTGCTGGGCCTCCGTCGCATGTTCATTGTCATAAGTGTCCCCATCATCACCTCTGGCACCAGCTGTGGTCTCCAGGACAGTCTTCTTCCTGGAAGAAGCTGAGGTTTCCCAGAGCTCAGGCTGGGAAACTCTGGCTACTCCCTCAGCAAAGTCTCGAGTGAGGAGTCAGACCATAAGCCTCTGAGATGTAGGAGGTGCAGAGAACTGGGGTGGCTTGCCCTTTCTCACATCTGCAAAATCATTCCCCCAAATCATAAAACATAATGTGGTTACTGCCCTTTTCTTTGGAAATAGTCTTAGAATTGCGAAAAAAAATACTTAAAAAACAAAAGCCAGCTGCCTCCTGAAATCATGTGGGTGGAGTGTCCGTGGCAACTGCAGAGCCTTCTGCTGCTGCCTTTGGAAGGTAAGGGGCTGTGGTGGCAACTGTGGTGCAAATGCACGCGATGGAGAAAGTCTGCGTTGCCACACAGTGGGGTGGTTTTTATTATTTTCACTAAAACAGACTAAAAGACTCTTATAAATATTCTTTTCCTTTGGGTGTTGCAAATTAGTAGCTTTGTGCGGAACAGTCTATTGTTCTCTGTGTCATAATAAGGCAAAACCTTCTGGAAAGTAGGCCACTGAGAAGTTGTCAAAGATTTTTCTCCTTATATTTGGGAAATTGGGCTGGCTTTATAGTCTGCAGATCAAGAGTCGGTCATGTCTCCTAAGTTTCAGAGAACAGTTTGCCATCTTGAGTTTCCTTCCCTTTTTAAGTTTCATTATAGAAAAAGAAATACACATTTGGGAAAATATTTATCCACTTGAAAATGTTTAAAATTTGCTTGGTTCCTGTCAGTTACACCATGTGTACTCCTGGGAAGGAGCAAGCAAGCTAACAATGAAGCCCCATTATAAGAATACAAGCTGGGCCCTGGCCAGTTTGGCTCAGCGGTTAGAGCGTCAGCCTGTGGTCCGGAGAGACCCGGGTTCAGTTCCCGCTAAGGGCACGTACCTCGGTTGCAGTTTGTCCCCGGCCCTGGTTGGTCGTGCGGGTGGCAGCCACTCGATGTGTCCCTTCACGTCGATGTTTCTCTCTTTCTCTCTCTCTCTCTCTCTCTCCCACTCTATCTGAACAAAAAAATGGAAAAATGTCCTTGGGTGAGGATAATAAAAAAAAAGAATACAAGCTGGGAGTAAATAGAAGGCAAGAGGGAGGGAGAAAGGTCCTTACGACCAGAGTGTGAGATGATGGCTTTCTCTGAGCCCGAAGCTTGGCGCCCTGCTTCCATGACAAAGAGGAAACATAATAGACCATGGTGAAATGTAAATGCCTTTTTCCTTTTGCTGAATTCTAAAATTGGGCTATCGCAATAGAAAACATCATTTTTCCACTTAGGCAAACTGGATGTAATTGATTATGTAAGGATTTTAACAACTATGTGCATACTGGTGGATTTCAGTGGTGCATATCAGTCAGAAGGAATCTGTTTTGAACTGATAAGCAAGGAAGGAGTGAGAGCATGAGGACCATTTCTTTGCATGTAAGCATAGGCATCCTTGTCACCAGGAAATATAAGGTCAGTCGAGGAGATGCAGGAATTCACAATAAGGTTCTTATATTTCATTGAGTGAGCAATCTTTCACATCAAACCCTGACCAGACATTAACATTTACATGTTCTTTTATTCCTAGTGCTACCAGTGGTTGAAGGAAAGAATTGTGAGTGAAGAAGGGAGGAAACAGCAGAACAAACTGAAAGACCTCTCCCCCATTGCCGAGCGCCTGGGCTGCACCCTCCCTCAGCTTGCTGTTGGTAAGAGGACTAGGGAGGGGCCTGCCGGAGCGCAGGAAATAGTTTTCTCCGCTTGAACCCCGCTTCTATGTGATCAAGTATCTACTGTAGGGCAGACTGATGTCTGGAGCATAAATTCCTGGTTAGCACTATCTAAAATGAGGCTTTCAGCCCAGCCAGTGTGGCTCAGTGGATGGAGCATCGTCCCATGGACTGTGAGATCCCAGTTCAATTCCCAGTCAGAGCAAAGGCCCAGATTGTGGGCTCGATCCCCAGCAGGAGACAGCCAATGGATGTTTCTCTCTCATGTGGATGTTTCTCTCTCCCTTCCTCCTTCTCTCTAAAAAAAATTTTTTTAAAAATATATAGATATATAGATATATAAAATAATAAAATGAGGTTTTTCAGAGTTCCCCAGAATTTTCTACAAGCTAAAAAACTTTGCTTACTTCCTTTTCCTCTCTTATAACACAGTTCAAATGAGGGGTGAGTGCTCTCTGAACTGTGCAGGGACATTCATTTCTTCTGGCTCAATTTGCCATCCCTGTCGAAGCTCAGGCCAGGGCAGTGAGAGGCTGAGAACAGGCCTGTGACAGGCCCAAGGCCACTGCCACACGGGAGGCCTACTCAGAGGAGCAGCTTCACCCTGAACCTCCAGAGCGACCAGGAAAATTGCTCTTCTAAACACGTCCATGAAAGGTCTTGGTCACTGGTAATAACTGAACATGCACCAGCCCTGTCCAATAGGTTCACGATGTGAACCACATATTTAATTTTTTTATGTTCTTGTGGCCATATTCAAAAAGGAAATAGGTGAATTAATTTTACTATGGGATTTTATTTCACACAAGATAGCCAACATATTACCATTTTAAGATGTAATAAATATAAAAGTTATTGAGATATGTTACACTTTTTTCAGACTAAGTCTTCAAAAATCCAAGATGTATTTTACACCTACTCAGGCTGAACACCTCACATGTGTTCAATAGGCACACTGACTAGTGGCCGCGTACTGGACAAAAATGCATCCAGACTTTCAGTGCCTTGCTGAGGGATATTTGCCAGGCTCTGTGATAAGCACTTGCTGCCACCGTCTTGTCCCCTTGTCAAAACAATCCTACAAGGTGCAAGCTCTCTCTTACAAATATTCATGGAGCATTTGCCATTATCTTCACTTTACAAATGAAGAAACTGAAGATAAAAGAATTCATGTGGTAGCTGTTGTTACCAGACTCAAGGAGTCCACCGCTTGGGGTACTCTCTTCAATGAGACATGGCGGTGACAAGGCAGTTTCATTTACTTGTGGCAAGTGAAGAAGACAGGGGTTCATATCCAAAGCTCTGTCCCCAGGAAGGGAGGCTTAGCCAATTGTTTATATACACTAATCAGCCAATTACATGTTGATTTCAGTTGACTACACTTATTGGGTTGGGTTCCTGTCAAACTCATCCGGTTTACAACTAGTCTACAAAATACTGTGCTACATTTTAACATATAGCAAGAATAGCATTAAATAAGAATGGCCCAGACCTTGAGACCCTGTCATATCTAACACTGTGGGGGAAGAACAAAATAGGTATGTAGTCTAGGAAAAAATCCTGTAGATTAAGAAATAGCAGGAATTGGGACAAATGAGATCCAGTGACCTAATGAGGTTAAAACGCTCAAGGTAAGTTCTAGGCAAATAAAATAATGCGGTTGAATGAATATTTGTGTCTAGAAGCTTGGCCCTTCTGAGGTTGGAAGGCAGGGAATGGCAGTTGCAGTTAACAGTCATTGAAAGATGGAAACGGGAGGTGGTTTGGGGGTGGGGAGAGGAATACCATTTACTTAAGTATATGTATGACTGTTGCTTTAACCCTTTCTTCCAAACAACAAAAAATGATGACTAAATTTAATGTGATTAGTTAGCATCCCTACAGCTTTAATGAACACAGTAAAAGGTATTAGCTATTTGACCATTGCAAGTTGTTTAACCTGCTATCAATTTTCTAATCAGTACAATGGGCATAACAATACATACCTTACAAACTTGTTGCATAAAGGGAAATTACACGTGTAAAGCAAAGAGTAGGTGCTCTTTGTAGCAGTGGTAATGATGAGGATGAGGATGTTTTGGTGAAGAATCAGACACCCTGGACCCAAAACTCTGTCCACCCCCAGCGATGACGTGGTATATCACCTTTGATCTGCTAGAAGGGTGTGGGGGAGGGGAAATCCTCCAGCAGGAAACAAACTACTTGAAGCGAAGGGTGCGCTGGCTTCTCTGTCATTTACCTGCACAGGAGCAGCATCCACACCTTGCTGGCAAAGGGGACTCTGGATGGCCTGCTGGTGACACCTGGCTAGATGCTAATCATCTAGAACCACCTGCGTGTGTTACCTCTGCGGCCAGGCAGTTCTGCCCAGTGGCTTCACCTACACCCTGCAGCCCAGAGTAGGAAATGGCTATTGCTGATACCAAGTAGTTCATGGGCAATAATTTTCCCCGCGCCCTGCTTTGCCCTCAGAGCTTACACTAGCACCAAAAAGAGTTATTAGTGCAAAGCAGGAAATAATACAGCCAAAAAAAGCCCTGAATCATTTGGCTTGTTGCCTTTATTGAGCATTATTTTGCCCATGTGGCAAGATTTAGAGATTGCTTTAAAGGCGTGAGCATGGTAACAGCTTAAGAGTATTAGTTCACAGTGGGGCCTTCAGCAAAGGGGGCATAAGAGGTGCTCGGACCCTCTTCCATCCATCAATCAGTATGCCTGTGTTTATTCAATACTAAGCACCTACTAGGTGCTGGTCTCAGGCTGAGCATCCAACCACACATAAAACACACCTCACAGCCTGATGATCCCTGTAATAGTGTTGTTGTAAAATAATTGGGAAGGGCCCAGGCAAGGGTCTGGGAAGTGATGTCTAGGGGCTCCCAACCCAGCCTCGGACTCCGGGAAGGACTCGGGAACTACTCAAGGTAGTTCCCATGGGGAGTCTCGAGTGATGAGTAGATATGGGAAGGGAGGAGGCAAAGGAACATCCCAGGCCAGGGAGCCAGGGAGCCAGGGAGCCCGGGAGCCCAGAGGATGGAGAGGATTTACAAACAGTTCCACACTCCTGAAGCACAAAGTTCAAGGCAGAGAACATGGGGACATGAAGCTGGAGAGTTGGGCTAGAAAGCAAGGTTTGCCAGGGTGAGAGATGACAACTTTATCGTACAGGACAAGGATTATGTCAAGCACACCTAGAAGAGCATTTGGCCAGGCAAGTGACATGGTCAGACCTCTGTCTGGAGAAACTGTACCGGGCGTGTGAAAGCTGAGTGGGGCGGGGTGGGGGCAATCCCAGCAAGAGGAGGAAAGGGCCTCTGTAGATGGCGAGGGCCTGAGGGAGCGCGGGGACAGCTGAACCAGAGCAGTGATTCTCAGGGGTGGTGTCTGCACCCACACAACGCGATGCTGTTCAGCGATACCTGCTGTAACATGGGTGAACCTCACAAACCTGCGGAGTGAAAGAAGTCAGACAGAAGCCCCTATTATCTAATTCTGTTTAGATGAAATATCCAGAAACAACAAATCTGTAGGGCACAAAGTGGATTAGTGGCTTCCTGGGGTTGGCCGTAGGCACAGGATTAACTTTGTAAATGGGAATGAAGGAGCTTATTGGGGTCATGGAAATGTTCTAAAACTGGATCTAAAATGGTGATGGTTACACACTGATACATTTACTAAAAATGCCTGAATTGTACACAAAAGAGGTAAAATGTTGGGTATGTAAATTTCACCTCAATAAAGTTTTTTTTTTTTTTTTTTTTTTAATTCCTCACCCAAGAATATATTTCCATTTATCATCAGATAGAGTGGGAGGGAGGGAGACACATACAGAGAGAAACATGGTTGTGATAGAGCCACATCGACTGGTTGCCTCCTACACGACGCAACCAGGGCCAGGACAAACGGTAACTTGCCCTTGACCAGAATCAAACCCGTGACTCACGGATGTTGGTCCGTGGTCCGACACTGTACCGCTGACCCAAACCAGCCAGGGTTCAGTAAAGATTTTTTTAAAGAAAACATGGCCCCTGCCCAGCTGGTGTGGCTCAGTGGTTGAGCGTCAACCCAAGCACCAAGAGGTCACCAGTTTGATTCCCAGTCAGGGTACATGTCCAGGTTGTGGGCCTGATCCCCAGTGGGGGGCATGCAGGAGGCGGCCAATTGATGTTCTTTCTCATCGATGTTTCTATCTCCCTCCCCCTCTCCCTTCCTCTCTCTCTAAAATCAATAAAGAAAAAAAGGAAAAGAAAACATGGCCCCTGGATGAGCAGCACCAGCATCACATGGGAGCTTGTCAGAAATGCAGATTCTCAGGTCTGCCCAGACCTTCCGAGTTAAAAACTCTGGGGGTGGCACCCAGTAATTGGTGTTTCACAAGCCCTAGGTGGTTCTGATGCACGCTAAACTTTGAGAACCATTGGATTAGAGAAATAATGCAATAGCAACTAGACTTAGCAATTAAAGGGGAATGTGGGATCACAAAAGCTCTGTGCCTAAGTATAAATCCCCAGTTCCTGAATTGGGAGGCCCAGTTGCTGGTGATGCCACCCAGCGAGACTGGGAACACAGGAGAGACAGGCTCAGGAGTAAGCAGCAAGTCTGCAGTGCCCGTGGGACACCCAGCAGGGACACCCAGCAGGGACTCCGGCAGACGCTGCATCCGGGCCTATGGAATCACGTAGTTCCAGGCAGCCATGAACTCAGAAGTCTACTGTGACCACAAAGAGGTTGTGGGTACCCTGGTTTCCAAGATGGCAAGAAAGGACTGAGAGGCGGAGAAAGGGGATCAGGAGTCTAACATGATCTTTCCGAAATTTAAGAAGGGGAAACGGGTGGGGCATTAGCTGGGCAGGTACAAAGGGTCCAAGGAAGCTTATTTTAGAATGGGAGAAATTTGAGCACATGTTACTGACAGAAAAGAAGATAGTATGAAATAAGAAATCAAGGGGAGAAAGAGTGAATCAAGTCTAAGAAAGGGCAAAGAGAGATGGATCCAGGGCAGAATTTGGCGTCAGACAGAAACAGCACATAGCTCGTCTGAAACTAGATGTGGGTGTACGGTGTCACCTGATGGACTTTTTGCATAAGGGTGGAGGCCCGGTCATCTGCTGAGAGCAATGGGCAGGGGTTGACAGAGGGTTTAAGGGCAGAGGCTGCCAGAGAGGCAGAGGAAGGAAAGGAGGGAGGGATTGGAGGGCTGGTGAGATCCACACAGGGTGAACCCCGTGCTAGGAAGCAAGGGTCCAGAGAGGGCTGACAGGTAGGTGGCAATGAAAGAACCAGACCCTCAAAGTCTACAAGGACTCCGGAAACAGAGGGACACGTGAGAGCCCGAATAAGACAGAAAGGCAGGAGGCTGCGGGCCATGGAAACAGGAATCCAGACATCTGCCAGTGAGCAGTGCCAGGTGTTTCCAGGAGCAAGAATGTGTCCCTGGGTGCGTAGCTGGATTGGATGCAGTTAGGGCAAAGCCCTATGTAGAAAGCAGAGCTCAAAGCCCACAATTCAAATGCATGGGTTCTACCAAGTCCTCTCCACGACAGGGGTGCTGCTGAGGTTTTTAACCCTGGAGAGCACTGTCCATCCTCCCCCAAAAGTAAGTTTTGGTTGCAACAGCGGTAGCTGTAGGTGGTGTTTATAAGGTAATCAGAAGGGCTTTGGTATCCTGACCATGTTCTCTCTTCCCAGCATGGTGCCTGAGAAACGAGGGTGTGAGTTCTGTGCTCCTGGGATCATCCACTCCTGAACAACTCATTGAGAACCTTGGTGCCATTCAGGCAAGTACCACAGCCCTTTCCAACAAACTCAGGGGATTTCATGGTGTCTCCGAAGATGTTCCCACACAGTGTTCCGTCTCCCCACCTCTGTCCTTCCTCATGTCACAGCTTCCCGGTTACATGCAAGTCCCTAACAGGCTACTTGTTCCTATGGGGGCTAGAAGGGAAGTGGAGACAAAGGCACGAGGTAACAGAACTGTTACAGTACATGGACCAGGAGTGTCCTCTTCTTATTAACAGGCAATGTTCTGAAACTTCATTTCTCAGGATGGTTTGTTTCTGTGAGACAAGGCATTCCAATATCCAAGTCATGTTGTACCTGGTGACTGGGGTCCCAGGCCTGACCATAAAAGCCCGCCTAATAGCTTGCTTGAAATGTAATAGCCACAGGACAATATCCTCACTTGTTCTTTCCACAAACATCTACTGCCGACTGCCGCGTGCCAAGCTCACAGCATCCCGAATTAGCTCTCCCGTCGCAGCACTTACAATAATGTAGTATAACTGCTTGTCCCCCTGTTGGACTGTAAGCTCCCTGAGGTCAGAGACCTTTCTTGCTTCTCCACTGATTTCTGGTTCCCAGCATATGACAGGACCCTTAGTCAACGCTCAAGAAACACCTGTTGAATGAATGTTTGCCACATTTCAAAAGAAATGGGGTCTGAATTCTAGTTTGGACCTCCAGTCACATCCTGGCAGCAAATCCAGGGGTGCCCATCTCCACTCCTTCCCTTGGGTGGATTACCCGAGGCCCAGGCATTGGATGGAGCCCGTGGGTGTGCTCTGGGGAGACTGCAGGGGTCATAGGAAGGGACATCACGGAGGTGTCCTGGGAGTTCTGTCTGAGGAAAGGGTTGGGCTTAGTGGCTGTTGGGACCATCCTCCTCCCCCAAAGGCCAGAGCCTGCCCTCTCAGCCCTGCTGAGGACCCAGGAAGGAGCCCGACCACCCCTTACATAGTCACCACCTCCAAACAGGTGTCTTCCCTCTTGTTCGCTGGGGAACAGAGCTGCCTCACTTCTTCCCTGTCCATCTGTCCCTGAAGTAAGCACTTATCCCATGAAATCCATTCTCTCTCCCAAAAGAAACAGGTGGAGGTGGGGACTAACTTGATTCAACTTAAAATGTTTAAAAACCCTCTTGACTAGCCCAGAAGCCGCTGGGGGGTGAATGGTCCCCACCGCCACCATTCTTGGGGTAGTGCAGCTGTGTCATCATCTCCACCTCTGCTTCCGAGGACCCCTCTGAGCCCCACAACTCCCCCTGGATTCTCAGGGTTCTCCATCATTGCATGGGCATGCTCCCTTATGAAAACTGCCCCACCATCTTTTCTTTTCACTTATGCTCCGGGAAAAGATAAAGGCTACACAGCGATGAGGAGGAAATTGGAACAGTCTGTACACAAGATTACTGGAATTCCATCCGATGATTTCAATTCCACTAATATGTACTGAGCACGTATTGTCTGGCACCATGCCAGGCAGAGTACTGAGTGAAGAACAAGACCCCGCCCTCAGGAGCCCACGGCTGGCTGGGAGTGAATTAAGCAATCTACCCCTCAGTTCACTGAGCAGACCGGAGAGCCCCCCATGACCAGGCAGGCACTGAGAGATGCCGTCCAGCATTCAGGGATCTTCCATTCTAGTGGGAGAGGCACATAACAAAGGTATAATTGCAAACTGTGAGAAGAGCTATTAAGTAAAGAGGGTGTTGTAACAGGGACTACTTGAAAAATGGGTGGGCCTACTTTAAATAACATCCTTGCCATAACCTCTGGATTGCATGCTCTGAAGCCCGAAGAGAGGACACAGCCTGTGAGGACCCAGAAAGAGCACTTCACACACAGAGCAGCAGTGTAAAGGCCCCGAGGTGGGAAGGAAATTGGCTTTTTCCAGGAACTGCCAGCCCAGGCCTAGTGTGGCCAAAACGCAGTGAACAAAAGGGACAGTGAGTGCACTGAAGAGGCGAGGTAGGCAGAGGACAGAGCTCACAGGACACTAGAGTTTTGTTCTGCATGAGACGAATCCTTGGAGGGTTTTAAGAGAACGAGGGACATGCTGTCATTTGAATTTTTAAAGACTGCGCTGGCCCAGTGTGGGAAGTAAAATGAAGCAAGGGCAGTTGTCCAGGTGACAGGTGATGATGGCCATGGAGGTGAAGGGGATGGATTCTGTTGGTTTGGGAAATAGAGGCAGGACTTGCTGACAGCTTAGTAAGAGGAAGGAGGAACTGGGGGTTCCTGTAACATTAATCCATTGTAAACACTGCCACCCAGGGGAGTCAACATGCCTGGGATGGTAAAGAGAGGTCACTCCTGGGCTACAGGAGTACTCCAGGTAGCTGAGGGTACATTTCAGAGGAAAACTAAGTCAGTCGTCTTCCCAAAGCATCTTTTCTCCCCAGCAAGGTTCTGACTGGTAGCAAGAAGGGCCACCCATCCTCAAAGGGTAAGAGAAAAGTTATCCAAGCAGGAAGGCTGCCCCATGAGAGCTTGGTATCCACCACCTCCTCCTTCCTACCCCCACCCCCCGCCAGCCCAGCACCTAAGAATCTGCCCCAGACAAACTGATTGGGCCTCTCCGTGGGGTGGGAAGCAGGATGAGTGGCTGGGGGTGCCCAGAAGTGCTGGGACTGGGTATAGGATAGACAGCTGCAAAGCCAGCACAGCAGTTGTAAGGCAAGGAAATTTCTAGTGGGCCCAGCAAGGCAGCTGCTCCGAGGGATAAAACTGTATAAACTGTATAAACTAGAGGGGCAGATACAAATCAGCGCCAAATGACAGCAGAGACAGGAGGAGTAACCACAGCTGCAGGTGGCCCATCATCATCTGAACAGGCCATCCTCCCCACTTCCACCTAAAAAGTGGAGAGATTGCTTCTCCCTTTCCACCCCACCAACCATAAAACCCTTCTGAGGCCCCTAGCGCCTAATCAGAGCAGTCCAGGCTCCTCACATCCAGGGCTCATCTTCCCTCGAATCCAAATATCCAGCCACCGTGAACCACTCAGGTCCCCAGAAGTAGCAGTGGTCCTCTGCCTGCAAGTGCCCACCACCGCTGCCTGCCAAAATCCTTCTCCACCCCACTCAAAGGTCCCACTCAACAGTGACCAATCCTGGGAGGACTTCCCTAATACCCCACCAGGCCCAGCAACACGAGGCAAACCACCCCTCACCCATCAATTATTCCCGTCAGTTTAACACCAAGGTTGTAAAACTGGTCACCTGTGGGATGTTTGTGTAATCTGTAGATGAAAATGTTTTAAAACAGATGTCGGCATTTTTAAAAATTGGGCAATTTCACATAAAATTCTGGATGTATGGCTTCTCTTAAAAATTTAGGCCTTGCAACACAATATATATATATATTTTTTTCATGTTTTATTCAAATACTTTTATGGTGTTGTGTTTTTCTTAAATATTTAAATCTCTATCTGAAATTTATTTTGGTGTAGGGAATAAACAATTTTTCCCCACATGGCTAACACACTATATTTTAGCATAAAACTTCCAACAAATTCAGTTTCTAGATTCGGATCCCATTGTTGTAATCTCACTTTAAACAACACATTACTTTAGATCCTCTGAGACTCCCGTACGGGTGGGAAATCAAACTCTTCCTTTAGCTTCGGAAAGAAAAACATGAACCAGAACCAGTTCCCCAGGCTGAGTAGCTCTGCTGTCCTGCCAACCCTAAGGTTCCTGAGGAGAGCTCTCGAGTGAAGACAAGGTCACCCTGGCCAACAGGATTGCGGCAGAGGAAGGGTGAGGCTGAAACCTCAGAACTGGCTGTCACAATTGTATTTCATAAGTCTCCACACAGGGTCAGCCTATTCCTGTGAAAAGTCTGCCTTTGTCCCTTGTTTTATGGTATAATTGTGCCCTTGGCCCACTTCTCACAGTAAATGCTATCCCTGGATGATGTCATCCTTTCCCGGGCTTCAATTAGCATGTCCACGCAGATGACTCACAAATCCTCAACTCCAGTCCTGCTACCAGCAAGCCAGCTCCATAGCTGCACTTCCGATCCTACAGACCATTTCCACATGGCTCTCCCACAGGCACCTTGGATTCAACGCATCTGACTCCAAACTCCTGCCCCCATGGATTCCAATCTCAGTAAACCACATCAGGGACCTTCTAATCACGCAGTCCGGAAACCATCCTCCAAAAAGTCTCAGATCCACACCCCTTTTCTAGTCCACTGCCCTTCCTAGTTAAGGCTTAGTGTCACTGCCCAGAACAGTAAGTTTCTAACATCCGTGTCCCCTCATTCTCCAAATCATCATTAGGTAAGTGTCTAATAGTTTCACTCCCAGCTGAGAAGTCCTGAGAGGTTCCCCACTGTCTACAAAATCAAGTCCCAATTCCAAATAACGACATTCAAGGTCTTCCATCCTCTTTACCCCAGCTTTTTCCCCTATTCCTACCATTCCCATACCACCACTTGTATCAGTCCTTTAGAGTATAAGGGAGTAAAATCTGGTATTAATTTCACCTGTTTCTTTTCACTTATGAATGTGGCCACTAGGAAATCTAAAATTACATTATGTGGCTCACATTAGATTTCTACTGGGCAGGGCTGCTCTGGAAATTATATACTTCTATCAGCCTTCACTTATATCTTATGTCTTCATTTATTCTGTCAACAACAATTATGAGCACTAATTATGGGTCAAGCACTCTTAGAGGCACTGGATATACAGTGGTGGACAAATCACGGTCTCTGACCTCAAGAAGCTTCCAGTCTAGTGAGGTTCTATTCCAGCTGGAGATTTTAATCGTATACCAGTCTAGACAACTTTCCCTAATATTGAACTCAAAGAACAAATACCAAGTACTAACCACATCCTTTGTACTTCTCATGATCTCAGGTTCTACCAAAGATGACATCACACGTGGTAAATGAGATTGATAATATATTACGCAACAAGCCCTACAGCAAAAAGGACTACCGATCCTAAGGCACTGCATGAGCCACGAGAGCTGCATGGGTAAAACATCGGTCTAGGCTGGTGCAGGAAGGTGTTACCAGCCAGTCTTTTAAATCACTTAGCAACCGCTGCTCAACCTCTAGGGTCCCCGGATTCTGAGGTGTCTGCTGTCGCTACCACTGTGCGCCTGAATTATGAGCACATCTGAAAACTCACAACTAGGAAAATCCATTCTATTTTCTTATCTGGGACTGGAGTGACACATTCTTGCATTGCTTTGTACATCTCATGCTGATGCAATGGAAAGTAAGTGGCAGGAAAAGACGTATTACCTTCAGGCATTTAGTAACTTAAAGAAGGCTGTACAGATCTATTTTTTCAAATGAACAAAACCCACAGATGCCATGTGGACTGCATCAGAAAGAGTAGGCTATGTTCACTCAGAAGCCCTGCTTGGGAAAATAAGCAAGAACAATTTTACATTTGTTTTCCTATTTTCACACTCCTGTTGTTAGCAAGCTGTTTCATTTATCATTTTCAACAAAACTTAATTTCTAGGTGTTTGCTTTCATGCCTTTTAAATATTCAATTGCTTGGCCCCAAGAATGACCCTGTGTAGCAATTTATCCAAGGTGTCTATTAAAATTCTAATAATGCTATGTTCATTTACATGTAGAGATGATAAAAGGAGGAACATCCCAGTCATTAACTAGAGACATTATGGTAAATTTATGAAAGGCAGGATTACACTACGATGGAAGTTTAGTTTTGAATAAAATATAATGCAGCTGCAATAAAGTGTTCACTTTTTACTATATTTTATGAAAACCTGCTTTATTTTTTTGACTGCTTGTAGGCACAACTTCTGCAAGTTTAAATATTTGAACTTTAAAAATATACACACGCTCGATTTTTTTTTTTAAGTAAACCTGTAAAACACACAGAAAGGCAAATGTTTGCTGTTTAATTAACACTGGGATTTTTACAATGGTGTTTTTGAGGAGTTAGTAACATGAAAGTAAATCATGGGCTTCTTGAAAAATGTCACTACTCGGCATATGCAGGATGAATTTACATGCCCAATGAAAATCAAATGTTAAAGAACTTCCTGATTCCATAATCTCATTATGTGCACTCAACTGTCTGCATGAAAGCTCACTGCATGGATTAAAGGGGCCTAGCTTCAGTGCACTCAGAAGCTAAGGTCTCCAGCCCTGCCACTACTGGCTACCTACCCTCATGCATACGCCATGAGAAAAAATTTGAGAATAAATTGTGTACCTGTAAGAAGAGAGAATTTTTTTTCCTCTTCTTTGGGGTGTTTTGGGGACAGGGGTCCTATAACTCTATTTGGACACCTTTGAGCATGTACAAAATTGTAATTTAATTTTCTGGCCAGCTGGTCCCTCATATAGAAATCATTTTGAGATTTACAGGAGAAATATACTATCAGCTTTAAATGCTATTTTTTTGCTATCATTTTCAGATATGTATTTCATGGTTAAATTCTAATCTTAAAATGTTGATGTGAAATACCAATAAATTTCTTTTGATTACTACTATCTATATCCAATTAAGGAAACAGTTTGGGTTTTTGCCCCAAAATATCAGAATGATAATGGAAATGGATGGTTTTTCAGTTGTTCGTTGTATATTCAATCAACCCAGTGAACTACTGTATGTATAAATGAGCTGAAGTTCTCTAATTGAAACTGCAATTTAACTTATTCGCTTGGAGTAATAAAAGCATTTTGTGCATTTAATCTCACAACTAGTTTGTATCTGATCTTTCTTTCACTATAAGGCTTTATCTCCAGCTCCATAAAAAGGGCAGTAATTAATAAAAATTATGTTGGCAGGTAAGCTGTAGTAATCAAGATTTAAACTGCAATCCATACTTTTCTTAGTAATGGAGAAATGATTAGCTACTAAAAATATCATTTCTCATTTGGCTTAGAAATACTCTGCACTAAGGTTAAAGCTTCTCAAACTCATTTAACAGACCCTGCAAATTAAAACCAAATACAAACATTATTGCTTAGCTGTGAGAACAGCTTTTTCTTTTTTAATATACAAGTCATCTGCCATGGTAAATATACTAGATAAGAAATACATTTCACAATTATATCCTTAAGAAAAATTTCCATGCACTCTCATTTTATTTTCTATTTTGGAAAGAATTCCCTGGGAGAGAACATACCGTTCCTAAGAGTAACCTGGGTAGCTAGCAGCCATCCAAATACTAAAATCTCAGTCAGATATGAAAACTAGAAACCCTCTGCCTGGCTTCCCACTTTAAAGGACTGTCCCTTCACCTTCATTAGTAATGTGCCAGGGGTCTCCAGATAGAGAGCAGAGCTTCAAGAGACCCTGGTCATCTTCAAGACCATCCCTCCTCCGCAAATGAGGAAACCAAGCCTGGAAAGATGAAAGGACTTGCCCAAACTCACACTGCTAGTTGATGGCAGAACCGGGCCTAGAATCCAGGTATTTTGTTCAGTGTTCTTTTAAGTAGTTTTCTTCTTCAGCTTTAAAACTCTGTAAAAAATAACTATGTGTGTGAATCTTTTAATCAAACAATGCTTGGGTATGAATCCAGACTCATAATCAGTTAAGCGGGAAAGGTCAAAGAAATTATATAGTTAAAACTCATGAAGGCCAATGAGAAGTTGATGTTTAACCACCTCCATGAAAATTTAAATCAACCGCTTAAAAACCACTCCAAATCTTCAATTAATTCCCTGCTTAAGAGGCCAAGTAGGCGAGAGATAACCCCTTCCAGCACAAACACAATTATCTGTAAATTGGTTCTCTCTATATGTACATGTCTATGTATATCTGTCCTGTCTCCAGAAACAGTAGTAACTGGCACAAATACTGAAAAAACAAAGACGAGGTGGGCAGGGCAATACAGTAGGCACAGACAGTCAGAGGCCCACATTCTGCTCTGTAATATAACTGCACTGTGCCAGTCACTGCCACAAAAATACTTGATCAGTAACTACAAAATGCACATTTACATGTGTAGTACATTTAAATGATGGGTAATGTAAAATAATAAAGATGATGTACTTTAGTCACATGGCTGTTGTAAAAGAATGTCTAGGTAAAATATAATATTTAAAAAGTAAAGTTTAGCCCTGGCCAGTTTTGCTCAGCGGTTAGAGCATCGGCCTGCGGTCCAGAGACCCGGGTTCGGTTCCCGCTAAGGGCACTTGTGTGGGTGACAACCACTCGATGTGTCCCTTTCAGGTCAATGTTTCTCTCTCTCTCTCTTCCCCTCTCTCCCTCCCATTCTATCTGAACAAAAAATGGAAAAAAAAAATGTCCTCGGGTGAGGATTAAAAAAAAAGTAAAGTTTAATGATACTTAATTAGCAAGACCTTTCACAAGAATTTTAGATGTGAATCCAACGGTTAACTGATGCAGCCAATATGGAAACCAGTATGGAGTTTCCTCAAAAAATTAAGTAACTGCTATTTGACCCAGAGACCCCACTTCTAGTAATATAACCTAAGAAGCCTGAAACACCAATCAGAAAGAATATATGTACCCCCATGTTCATAGCAGCACTATTTACAATAGCTAAGATCTGGAAATAGCCCAAGTGTCCATCAGGAGACGAATGGATAAAAAAGCTGTGGTACATACACACAATGGAGTACTATGCAGCTATAAGAAAGACCTCTTATCCTTTGAAATGACATGGAGGGACTTGGAAAGTATTATCCTAAGTGAAACAAGCCAAGCAGAAAAAGACAAATACCACATGATCTCACTTATTTATGGGATATAATGCACATAACCATCTGAGGAATAGGGTAGACCCAGAAACATGGAAGTAGGGTACAGACTGACAATCCCCAGAAGAAGGGGGGCAGGGGGGAGAGATAAACCACAGAACTTATATGCATGTATGCATGAACAATGGACATGGACAACAAAGCTGGGGATGGGATGGGGGGATGGGGAGGAGGGTGTCAATGGGGTAAAAAAAGAAGAAACATCTGTAACAAAAATAAAATTTTAAATATAAACTAAAAATAATTAATTAATTAACAAAGGAAAACAAAAAAAGAAACATAATGAGGTTAATAATGCTCATTATGACCTCAAAACTAGACGCAAGCAAGCGGAAAACTTATAAGCACTATAGTGACTGCACACAGCACTGCTGCCACCATCTCCTTGTCGAAGAAGGGCAGAGATAAAAAAAAAGAAAGAAAAAAGAAAGAATATATGCACCCCTATGTTCATAGCAGCGCTACTTACAATAGCTACGATCTGGAAACAGCCTATGTCCATCAATAGATGAGTGGATAAAAAAAAGCTGTGGTACATATACACAATGGAGTATTATGCAGCTGTAAGAAAGATCTTTTACTCTTTGAAAAAGCATGGAGGGACTTCGAGATTATTATAAACAAAATAAGCCAGAGAAAGACAACTAACACATGATCTCATTTATATGTGGAATCTAATGAACAAAATAAACTAACACACAAAATAGATCCAGAGACATGGGAGCATGGAACAGACTGATGAATCTGAGGGAAGGGGGAAAAGTGAGGCAGGAAGAGATTAACCAAAGAACTTAAAGAATATATGTATAACTCATGGACACAGACAATAGTGCAGTGAAGGCCGGGGGTGGGGTGGGGGCAGGAGCAGGGTGGAGGGGGTCAATGGGGAAAAATGGGGGGGTGGGACATCTGTAATACTTTCAACAATAAAGACTAAAAATTTTTTAAATGTAAATAATGTATTCTCACCAAGGGAAGGCTACCATCATGGCAGGCTATACAAGTAATGGTGCTGTAGTAGCTGGAACAGAAAAATGGGGGAGAACTGCATGGTGGTCTAGGCATGAACATTTGAAATAATGTGCATTAAAGCAGTCAGGAACATATTTATGCTGTGACTGGCGAATTATTTGTGGCAAAAAGTAATGTTTTTTGAATTTTATTAGTTGAACAGGTTTTATTTAGTTTAGAAATGTTTTGGTTTATAATTTTAGGAGGACTATAGGCATAAAGAGTTTGTGTCTAGTTTCATGCTTGTATATAAACATCATAATTTTAAAAGAATTTTAGATATGAACCCAACCTCCATATTTTAGTTAACTTTAGAACTTATTTCAAATTATTCTTTCCAAATTAAAATAACATACAAAATAGGACAATCAGTAAATTTTTACTGGCTAAGAATAATTTCAATTAAACATTTTTATTAAGTTGTAAATGAAGAAACTAAAAATAGGGAAATGTAAACTGTTCCAACATTTTAAGCCTCTAGTTATCACAAGGGGTGTTAAAAAAGGAATTTAATCACTTTAAATCCCAATTACAACACAACAGTTTATTTTACTGGTGTTGGATATGAGGATCTTCTGAGATAAAAATTCTGTAAGTTTTGCCTGGCCAGTGTGGTTCAGTGGATTGAGCATCATCCCATGGACTGAGAGGTCCCAGTTCAATTCCCAGCCAGGGCATATGTCAGGGTTGCAGGCTCAATCCCCAGTAGAGGGCCTGCAGGAGGCAGGAGGCAGGAGGCAGGAGGCAGTCTATTGATGTTTCTCCCTTACATCAATGTTTCTATTTCTCTCTCCAAAAAAAAATCAATAAAAACATATTTTTAAAAATTCTATGCCCTGGCCAGTTTGGCTCAGCGGTTAGAGCATTGGCCCGTGGACCAAGGAGATCCAGGTTTGATTCCACCCAAAGGCATGTACCTCGGTTGGGTTCGTCCCTGGCCCGGTTGGGGTTGTGCGGGTGGCAGCCAGTCAATGTGTCTCTCTCACATTGATGTTCGTCTCGCTCTTTCCCCCCCTCCACTCTGTCTGAAGATAAATGTAAAAATATCCTTAGGTGAGGATTAAAAAGAATAATAATAAAAATAAATAAAAATTATACACATTTTTACTAACTAAACCAGATTGAGTGTCACAATTCTATGTGCCACATAGCCATTTTAGATGATGGGAAGAGGACCGGGGAAAAGGCTCTGCATTTTGCAAGAGTAGAGTACTGATATCCTGCGTAAAACTGTAGACCTGAGAGTATATGCCTTATAAAACTTATGCACAGAAATTTATCAAAATGAAAATCAGTGCTGCAGGAAAATTTAAGAACCAAAATAAGATTTTCATTACTTGCTTTTCTACAAATTATTCAGTTTATTAATTCAAGAGCAATTCTTTAAAGACTACCAAGCTGATGCCCCAATCTCACTACCTCATTTCAACTACACTGCACTTAATAGTGGTAGCTCTTCCATCTAGATAGGCACTGCCATCTAGTGGCAATTTTTTACCTGTAATTTTAAGATATTTGACAAGAGTTTGGGGAAAGCAGGAGGGGCTAGAAGTGGGGAGAAGGGGGGCTAATGGAGGAAAAGGGGGGGGACATCTGTAATACTTTCAACAATAAAAATTTAAAAAAATAAAAAGAGCCCTGGCCGGTTTGGCTCAGCGGTTGGAGTGTCGGCCTGCGGTCCTGAGAGACCCGGGTTCGGTTGCCGCTAAGGGCGCGTACCTCGGCTGCAGTTTGTCCCCGGCCCTGGTCGGTTGTGCGGGTGGCGGCCACTCGATGTGTTCCTTTCGCATCGATGTTTCTCTCTCTCTCTCTGTTCCTCTCTCTCCCTCCCACTCTACCTGAACAAAAAATGGAAAAATGTCCTCGGGTGAGGATAAAAAAAATAAATAAATAAATAAATAAATAAATAATAAAAAGATACTTTGACCCAGCTCTGGTAACAAATAGTAGACGCTAATGGTTTGTCAAACAGTCATTTTATCAAGTAATAAATCCATTTGGTACACAAATTCCATGTCACTTGTCAAACTACTATCAACAGGAAAAAAAAAAGTTAAAACATGAAAACAAAAATAAAACTCTTATGTGTTATACTAACTACTTTGCAGTCAATCTCTTTTGATATCCCCATTCACTCTGGATTACCCAGTGATGATGGCACATGAATAAAGCACCAAAGAACTGCATACTTCTAAAGGCAATGATGAAATATAATCCTCAATTGAAGATGATGATCTGGGTCACTATCAAGTATATTCCTCCCTGTCTTCCTTCTAAGTTCTTGAACATGTCCTACCAAAACATCAATTAGCATGAAAGTAAAAAACGAACTCCTAAAGAATACCTTCCTGCCCTAGCCAGTTTTGCTCAGCGGTTAGAGCATCAGCCCGCGCAGACCAAAGAGTCATGGGTTTGATTCCAGCCAAGGGCATGTACCTCAGCTGTGATTCGTCCCCAGCCCTAGTCAGGGTCCTGCGGGAGGCAACCAATCAATGTGTCTCTCTCACATTGATGTCTCTCTATCTCTCTCTCCCCCCTCTCCCTCCGTTGCACTCTATTTAAAGATAAATGGAAAAAATATCCTCAGGTAAGGATTAAGAAAATAATAATAAAGTAAAATAAAAAGAATACCTTCCTATAATATTATAAATAAAACAGCAAGAATTATTTACAACATTTATCTTAGAAGTGGAAACTAAAAATTAAAGTTAGGATTAGAATTAGAAATATATTTCCTTCGAGGTATTGTTACATGATGTGGTCAAAGCTAGTAAGAATATGAAACCACTATCACCTGGGATTCCATAACCTTTAATAAGTTCAAGAACTTCCCAAACTTTTTCAAAACATGGCACACACAGAAAATGATAATATCTGCACACACACTCGTTAAAAAATGCAAGAGACTGCTCTCAGCTGGACCCCCAATGGCTGAAGAGATCCATTATTTTATTCACAGTCAATGGAAACCTGTGGACTAACGGGTCAAATCTATGAACGTATGAATGGAAAAATGCTGACAAGCACTAACATCACTTTAATTCTTTGGAATGTTCTTAGAATTCTGGAGCTAAGATCACAAAAATTACTTTGGTCTTCTATGACAATATTCAGGAAAGAGGTTCTCTCTCTTGCCGAACATTCCTCCAGTGGTAGAGACCCCACTCTAAGAAAACAATGATGCTAATCTCTCAGTAAGTCAAACTAACGTGAGAGGGTCAAACTGATCTCCTTGGCTACCCAAGACCAAAGCTATAAAGCTGAGCAGTGTGTGTTTTAACCCCACAGAACAACTCTCATGTGCCTGGGCACTATTTTTATTTTTTTCTTTATTTCATTTTATTTTTTTCCATTACCATTTATCCTCCCTATACCCTCTTTCAATCGCCACCCACCCTCTTCCTTCCTGGGCACAATTTTTAGGTTATTACCTTGGCTGTCTTTCTCCGTTTAGAAAAAAAAAGAACTTTTCCACAAGCTTCTCTTCCCCAAATTGGAGAAACCATGTTTTTAACTTTAATTGAGTTATTTCAAATCACAAATTCAGAGACATGTAAACATGCAGTCCAATCCCACCCCCGAGCCAGGGGAAAGGGGAGAGGATTCATTCTGATATTTGTGGTTCCAAAAAAGTTGTAATATTATGCTTGGAACGCACAAAACCAGCTATTAACTTCTTGCTACTATAACAAATAATAACAGTTCAGTCCAGGTTACTGTGACCTCTGACAGATCAAGGACACAAGTTATTTTCTCCTTTTGTGATTACAGCACATTGCAAGACACATTTTGCCTTTTAATAAATGTCCTGGTACTCCAAGTTTCAATTTCAATTCATGTAATTTCAAGTCTGTCAAAAGAGCCAATAAACAAATATTGAATTACATTTTGTTGGATTTTTCAAACCCTCAAACTCCAGACTATAAAAACATCTTCAGTGTCTCCCACCCCAACCACCCAGCTACTTTTCCATATACCACAGGCCACCCATAGATACAAAGCCAGGGGTGAAGCTGACATGGTCTACTTGGAGCCAGTGGACAGGAGGGCGATGAGACCGGATGAAGCACTTATGGACAGAATATAGTTCCTGTAAGAATTTAATGTTAAGGAAAAATTAAGAACCCACAATTCGTTTTTCAACAAAACAAAGCGAGCCCATCTCTTTGGAATGTACTGCTTCCCTCCTGACACTGTCTAATGACATGATATGTAGTCCTGTTGCCTGAAAACACAATTTACAAGACAAAAGACTATAAAGAACATTCACAGAAATGTGTGCAATTTTAAAAAAACAACTGAGACAGAAACCTAGAACACATGATCACCAACAAAAGACACCCAAATTCCATTTAACCTTCAGAAGAGCTGATCAAAGAATATGGGGAGGAAGAAGAGACTGCCCTTCCTCTCTTCCCTCTCCATCAGTGTACACAGTGGGCCTGTAAAACTAAGGAGGTTCTGAAAGTTCGCAGCTACTCCTAGCCTCAGGACTGGACTGTTTGGGACAGTAATTTCAGAAGATACAAGTTCAAGGGTGTCATATTTTATTACATCAAAATCTCCAACTATTCAAAATTTGGCTGCACATTCCTGGATAACACCTTTAATAAATTACCTTAACAAGAGAAGGTTGATGCTTGCCCAAAAGTTCAATTTAAGAGCAGCTTGAAACACTGTTAAGATATTATGAAATGTGCCTATTTAACTACACTGGCTATCCACCCAACCCCAAAGTCCCAAAGTATCAGTAGACACATGGCTTACACGAGGAACTATCCATGAAAGCAAGTTTGCTTTTGCTTCTTAGAACTCTCTTTTTAAACAGGCAGGTATACATAATCATCTATGTGAGACTATTTGTTGTTATTTATAACGAAGTCATAATTTATAAACTTGAAAGAATTTTATAGCCAACTCAAAGCCCTTATTTTATTTTTTGCATTTATCTTCAGATAGAGCAGGAGAGAGAGAGTGGGAAAGAGAGAGAAACATCGATGTGAGACACTTCAAGTGGCTGCCACCCACATGACCCCAACCGGGGCAGGAACAAACCACAACTGAGGTACATGCCCTTAGTGGAAACTAAACCCGGGATTCTCTGGTCCGGGGGCTGATGCTCTAACTACTGAGCCAAACCGGCCAGGGCCCAAAGCCCTTATTTTAAATGTTCAGAAACTTCCCTAAGGTCACAGTGCTGTTTAATAGACCGACTCCTTGTACAAAACCAAAACAGTAGAAAAAACATAATCAACCTTTAAAAGGATACACTGTGGGGTTGAAGTTCTTCAATATAAAGAAGGATGCAACAATGACCAAGACCAGGAATAGGGTGTTGTTATAGAAGATGGAAAATGTTGTAGCTTCATAATCAGCAACTTCATTCTTCTTCCACAAGATTCTATCAACACAGAAACAAGTCAATTAAGTTTATGTTTTACAATTTTTAAATACCACGTGGTTCTAGTTCATTGTGAACTAAGTTTTTCCTTCAGTATTTCTGAGCAGAATGTGTTTTTAACATTGAATTTAGTCAGTTAGCACTGTCCCTTTTTCTACTGAAAAAAGGTATTTTATTCTATTGATGAAGAAAACAGTTGCTGGGTAAGTTACCTTTTCACCCAGGCAGTCAGGGCTTGAAGAGAGGTAGTGATTAATTGCAACTGGCTTAATTTCTCTAGGTCCTCACCTAAAACTAACTTCATCGGCAGCAGGAGCCTGATAGAGCTTCCTTGAATGTTGGCTGGCTTGAGACTCTCGACCCAACAGATATCAGCCTTCAATATTGCACCTTAATACAATCCCAAAGACAAAAACTAGCTGTGGTCTCACAAAAGCAGGCTTGTAATATGTAATTCAAATAAAAAATCTGCTTTATCGTTAGGAGGATTTAACTTTTGTAAAACCACTTACTCTTTATCCATATTTTATTAACTTACTAGTACTTTATCAACCTTTTCTCTTACCTCTTCACATGGGTAACAGAAAGTTCAAGGGTGCCCGTGCATAAGGGAATCTTTACTCCTCTTGGTTAATAACTTTGTAAAGCAGTTTTTAAAGCATTAGGTTGTGACCCATTAGTGGGACCTGAAATTGAGTGGATTCAATGCTCATGGAAAATAACAGTGGGTTGAAGTCAGCAGGGATTATTGTTTGCTTTTTAATGTTTTTATTTTTCAGTGACATTCAATATTATATTAGTTTCAGAAGCACAGTACAGTGGTTAGACATTTATATAACCTACAAAGTGGTCCCCTCGATAAGCCTGGCATCCATATATAATTACAATAATTTACACTATATTCACTAAGCTGTATTTCACATCCCTGAGACTATTCTGTAACTGCCAATTTGTACTTCTTAACTCCTTCACCTTTTTCACTCAGACATCCCATCCTCCTCCTTTCTGGCAACCAATAGTCTGTTCTTGTATCTGTGAGTCTGTTTCTGTATTCTTTATTTGGCTTAGATTCCACATTATTTCACTTAGCATAATACACTCTAGGTCCATCCATGTTCTTGCAAATGATAAAACTTTTTTTTTTTATGTCCAAGTAATACTTCATTTTATATACGCACTATATCGTCTTTATCCATTTGTCTTTTGATTGGAGTATTTAATCCACTTACATTTAAAGTAATTATTGATAGGTATGTAGCTATTACCATTTTATTTTGTTTTCTTAATTGTTATTGTAGTTCTACATTCCTTTCTTATTCTCTTGCTCTCTTCTCTTGTATGTTGATGACTTTTTGTAGTGTTACCTTTGGCTTCATTTCTCTTTATTTTGTGTATATCTCTCATAGATTTTTGGTTTGCAGTTACCATGTGCTTCATATAGACTGCTATAAATATAGCTTGGTGTACGTGTGTGTGTGTGTGTGTGTGTGTGTACACCAAGCTATGTTTATAGCAGTCTATTTTTTTAAAATTATGATTTCATTGAATTTTTTTTTTTTAAGAGAGGAAGGGAAAGGGTGAGAGAGAGGGGAACCTCAATTAGTTGCCTCCTGTACACACCCCAACCAGGGTTGGAACCCACAACCTGGGTATGTGCCCTAAATGGGAATCAAACCTTTTGGTGCATGGGACAACACTCAACCAACTGAGCCACACTAGCCAGGTCTACAGCAGTCTATTTTAGGCTGATGGTCACTTAAGTTTGAACACATTCTAAAATCACTACCATTTTTACTCCCCCCCACCCCCAACAAGTTTATGTTTTTGTCAATATTTTTTACTTATTTTGTGTATGTCCCTTAATTTACCATCGTAATTACACATGATTTTCCACTTTTAACCTTTGGTCTAGCTTTAGTGTCAGTTAATTCACTACTTTTATATGTTTTGTCAATGAGACTTTTTTTCTTGCTATATTTTCATTTTCGTGTTTTTTCCTTCATCTTATGGAAGTCCCTTTACCATCTATTGTACTGGTTTGGTGGTGAACTCCTTCAGCTTTTTCTTATCTCATTTAAAAAATAAATATAATAGCTCAGACAGTGTTGCTCAGTGGCTGAGCGTCGGCTCCTGCACCAGGAGGTCACCGGTTCGATTCCCAGTCAGGGCACGTGCCCAGGCTGTGGGCCAAATCCCCAGTGGGGGACATGCAGGAGGCAGCCAATAAATCTTCTCTCTCATCGATGTCTCTCTCTCTCCCTCTCACTCTAAAATCAACAAAGGGAAAAAAATTAAAAATACAATAGGAAAGACCAGGAAAATAGCTAGTGCACCACACATGGTAGAGTAATTACTATTTTACAAAACATTACATGCATGTATGTGTGAGTGTATTTGGTGAAAAAGTAAAATTTGTTTCTTATTGTGGGTCATTATCAAAAAGTTGAAAGCCATCGCCATTGATGCTTTGTCCTGCCCACCACCACCAAATACACTACTCTGGGGCCAGATGATACCCTCCATGGATCCTACGGACACCACTATGGCTAGTGTTTAACGTCACTGGAAGCTGCCATGCTTTATTCATCAAATGTTCTAATCCAAGTCAACAAGCATGGCTATCGAGGAGCCAAATGAAGAGTATTAGCACCTCATCTCCATCATTAGAAATTTTCAATCTCTAACATATTTCCTTAATTCTATGAATACCACTAACTTAATATATCTCAGATTTACTATAAGCTTGGAGAAGGGAAGGGTATTATATTCAAAGCAGCCATCAACTAAATAACACAGCTCCTGATTTTAGAGAAGTTTAAATGTACATTTTAAAAATATATATGACTTGGTATGGGAGGAGATACATTATACCATTGTAACACTGAGTGATTGAAGAAAACACCAGCTCAGAAAGATACATAGACCCAACATGGTTTAATACTAGAAACCACAGAACAATTGCCTCTGGTTTTAAGACTCTGGCACAAGACCCAATAAAGAGAGGTTCCTTTACTAGCATGCCTTTGCTAAGGATGATTAATTATCCCACCTACATCACAGCCCTTCTCCCTAACTCCATGTCATGCCCTCAATCAAGAACCATCTTGAAAACAGTTTTGATGAAAGTAACAGCTCAATCCTTTAGGTTACCCCACCTCCCAATATGACCATGTGTTACATCAGTGGATACAGTCAGGACTATCTAACAGCTTTTAGAACTTTTACTAGTCCACGCATATCCTGGTTCATTTTGAAAGAAATTAGGACTCCCAAGTGACCTCATCAGCAATGGTTCTGCCAAAGCTTCACTGTTAGGAAATCTAGTTTGAGAGAGCACTTCCCAAGGAGCCATTTTTCCAAGGAGCATTTCCTACAACAGAAAAGTTGAGACCAAACTCAACAACTGTTACAATCAGATCATGATAAATGACAGATCACTGGTAAGTCAGGGAGAAATAATACTCACACCCTGGGGCACATATTAATAAACCTCTGATTTCCACTGCTAATTTCATCCTCGAATGGATGGCAAAGCAGTTTCAAAGTAGCAGGCAGTACATACTCCAAATGACTATAGATGGGAGTTTTGATATGCATCTCAGCAAAGAGGTGCTGATAAGCCTTTTCTTAAATCAAATCTGTCCTTTGAAGAAGAAAAACATTAGATCATAATGGGAGTTTTGGTCTCAGTATCCAGAGTAAGTCATAAGTACAGACCTGGGTACAATGGTATCCAATGTGGCTTTTGTGAGAGAAATACAAAACAAATAACAGCACAAATTTCTACGATAACAAGAATAGAAATTTTACACTCTTCTGACATTCTGCATTTTATGTATCAATCAAACCTCCATTTTATCTTTTGAAATATCTGGTCCAGCCAATGGCACAGAGGTTTCATTTCCAATTCCCACTCTGATCCATTGGTAGTGACTGAACACCCCTCACTGAGAAAAATTCTGAGACACATTCCAAAATCTAGAACAAGTGGTAGACCAAATTAGGCAAGTCTTCAGTGGAGAGATGAGACCCACTTACTATCTCTTATATAATTAACCACCTGAAACCTACAACATTGTTTATAACAAGCATTTTGAAACTGGGTAACCATAATATGCACTCCAATTTAAGAAATATTCTAATAAATATAATTCAATAAAAAGTTTTTTAAAAAGTGTTCTACATTCTCTAACCTCCATCCCTATGCAAAAATTTGCAATCAAGCCCAGAGACATGGAAGTAGGGAACAGACTGACAAACCAGAAGGGGGGGGGGGGGAATGTTGGGGGAGGGTAAAAAGAGATAAACAAAAGAACTTATATGCATATATGCATAACCAATGGACACAGACAGCAATACTGTGAAGGTGGAGTTGGGCCAGGAGTGGGGAGGAGGGTGTCAATGGGGGAAAATGGAGGGACATCTGTAATGAAATAAATATTTTTTTTAAAAAACTGGAGATCAAATATACAGCATAGTGATTATAGGTAATAATGTGCTGTATATTTTAAAATTGGTTTAAGAGTAGATCTTAAAATTTCTCATCATTAGAAAAAAGTCTGTAACTGTGTGATAATGGATATTAACTAGATGTATTATGATGATCATTCTGAAATACAAATACTGAATCATATTGTACACCGGAACAAATGTAATGTTACCATCAATTATCTCTCAATAAAAAGGTAACAACAACAAAAAAAAACCCATCATCAGTTGTGTGGGGGGAAAAAACTGCAATCCGAAAGCTATGCAGCCAGAGCTCACTAAAGCTGCTCTCTGAAAAAAGGCCCTCACTGTCATTTTAGTACTGTGCTTTCCGTTTTATAAAGGATCCAAAGGAGATAACCACTTCAATAATGTTTTGGTGCCTTTCCAAAACCACTATAGAAGACATTGTTCATTAAGTTACTCGGTGTCCCTTAAATAAGGATCCACTTGAGCAAGTCCTTCCAGATTCAGTGCCAGGAAAGTTTCTTTTCAGGAGGACTCACACACTGCTTCTCATAGGCCAATGAAAGCAGCATGACCTCAGATGCTTCCCCTGACACTGGGAAGATCAGAGCTAAGTTTAGTGCTCTACTGCTGTAACTAACTCTGAGTTCCTTGTTCATCCACTTCTTAGTTTTAAGTGGTTTCTGAATTTTTAAAATTGTCTTGCTTTGTTTTATATGCACTTTAATATTGCAAGTTAATTCTTTCTGGAGCAAAGTGGGATAAGAATTCCATTTCACAAACCACTTTGTAGATACTAAAACCTAAAATCAACACAACTCTAGGAAGATAAATAATCCAATTAAAATGGGCAGCGGACCTGAATAGACATTTCTCCAAAAAGGACATACAAATGGCCAAGAGACATATGAAAAAATGTTCAATGTCACTAATCATCAGAGAGATGCAAATTAAAACAACAATGAGGTATCACCTCACACCTGTCAGAATGGCTGCCATCAACAAATCATCAAACAAGTGCTGGCGAGGGTGAGGAGAAAAAGGGACTCTAGCCCTGGCCGGTTTGGCTCAGCGGTTAGAGCGTCGGCCTGCGGTACAGAGAGACCCGGGTTTGGTTCCCGCTAAGGGCACGTACTTCGGTTGCAGTTTGTCCCCGACCCTGGTTGGTTGTGCAGGTGGCAGCCACTCGATGTGTCCCTTCACGTCGATGTTTCTCTCTCTCTCTCTTCCTCTCTCTCCCTCCCGCTCTATCTGAACAAAAAATAGAAAAATGTCCTCGGGGGAGGGAGGGAGGGAGGGAGGGAGGGAGGGAGGGAGGGAGGGAGGAAGGAAGGAAGGAAGGAAGGAAGGAAGGAAGGAAGGAAGGAAGGAAGGAAGGAAGGAAGGAAGGAAAGAAGGAAAGAAAGAAAGAAGGAAAGAAGAAGGAAGGAAGGAAGGAAGGAAGGAAGGAAGGAAGGAAGGAAGGAAGGAAGGAAAGAAAGAAAGAAAGAAAGAAAGAAAGAAAGAAAGAAAGAAAGAAAGAAAGAAAGAAAGAAAGAAAGAAAGAAAGAAAGAAAGAGGGACTCTAGTACACTGCTGGTGGGAATGCAGACTATTGCAGCCACTGTGGAAAACACTATGATATTGCCTCAGAAAATTAAAAAATGGAACTGCCATTTGACCCAGTGATTCCACTTCTGGGAATATATCCCAAGAAGTCTGAAAAACCAATCAAAAAGAATACATGCACTCTTATGTTCACAGCAGCACTATTAACAATAGCTAAGGTCTGGAAACAGCCCAGTGTCCATCAGCAGATGAGTGGATAAAAAAAAAGCTGTGGTACATAGTATACACAATGGAATACTATGCAGCTGTAAGAAAGATCCCTTACCCTGAGACGAAATGAAGGGACCTAGAGAGTATTATGCTAAGGAAATAAGCCAATCAGAGAAAGACAAATATCACATGATCTCACCTATTCATGGACTATAATGAACAAAATAAGCTGATGAACAAAACAGATCCAGAGATATGGAATTAGGGAACAGATGGACAAACCTCAGAGGGAAGAGAGGTGGGGCTGGGGACAGAAGAGATAAACCAAAGAACTTATATGCATATATGCAAAACCAATGGATACAGAAAACAATATGGTGAAGGTGGGTGGGGAGGCAGGAGCAGGGAGGAGAGTATCAAAAAGGGAAAAAGGAGAGACATCTGTAATAAAAATAATAATAATAAATTCAGTACTAAAAAAAAGATTCATGAAAACAACCTTGATTCATGACTCTATTCAACCATCTGGCAACTCTGGAACAGAAGTTGACTCAATCATTCAGAGATTTCCGCTACTCAGATGTCAGACTGCTTATTAACCCTTCTAGGAGCAGTTAATAGGAAAAATTGGGGTGGGGGCCAAGGCTAAATGTGTCACAGGATTGTGCAACAGGAGAAAAACTGAGCTTTTCCCCAAAGCAGATAACCCAGAGGGGAAGCTCAGTAACAGACATGACACCACCAAAAAATGCTCACACACGGCACAATGTAAACTCTTCAGTCCCAGAGGGGTTAGGTGATAAATTCACCTTCAGCACCAGACAAAACTCTGCAGCAAAGCACTAGAAAGTACAAGCCAGACAGCTTGCATTTTATCAAGGCTTTACCACACACTAACCTAGGGCCTTGGGCAAGTTACTCAAGCTTTCTATACCCCAGTTTCCGGAGGTGTAAGATGGAGATAATAGTGCCTACCTCTTAGGGTTCTTCAGAGAAATAAATGAACTGTACAGCTCAAAGGAAAGTATCTGGTAGTAATAAAACTCAAAAAGTCAGTTATTCCCACTACTACCTCTTCTACAATACCAATGTTTGCCTCACACAATTCCTACATCCGAATTATCTAAGCAGACATCAAAAACATATTTTCTACAAAGTACCCCCTCCTTTTGGGATTACCACAAACACTTTAAATAAGGAGTCAAACCTTTCATCTTTTTCCTTCCGAGACATCTTTCTATTATCAGCTTCAGAAAGTTTTCGAGTCACTTCCTTGGAAACGGCATCTTCCCTCTTCTGTGCTACTCTGGAAGGAAAAGAAAAAGTTTTTCCACATGCTCCAGGAAGGAAGATCACTCTCAGAAACACTCTGTACTCATATTTTGTATTGGCAACTGTATAATACTTCACATTTCAAGAAAATAAACTGTACAGAAAGTTCCAAGTTTATTACACTGTTCAGTACTAGCCAAAAGAGAGGGAGTTCAAGAAACTTCCAAGATGTTGTTGTGTGTTTTGATTTCTCCTTAAAAGGGAGAATTTTCCAGTTTATGTATTTATTATGGAAATAGAGGTCAAACGCTATCTGCACAATTTAGTTATAAATCCATTTTGTTTTAGCCTATAATTTAATTGTTCAATAAATAAATTTGACAAGGCATTAGCAAATGATATATGACTTTAATTCCAGTAAATAACAGGAGAGAAAACTAGGCTTAACAAAACAAAAGGGCCCTAGTCGGTTTGGCTCAGTGGTTAGAGCATTGGCCTGCGGTCCAGAGAGACCTGGGTTTGGTTCCCGCTAAGGGCGTGTACCTTGGTTGCAGTTTGTCCCCAGCCCTGGTTGGTCGTGCGGGTGGCAGCCACTCGATGTGTCCCTTTCACATCAATGTTTCTCTCTCTCTCTCTCCTTCCCACTCCACTTGAACAAAAAATTGAAAAAAAAAATGTCCTCGGGTGAGGATAAAAAAAAAAAAGGGGGAGTATCTTACAGTGATGCTTTTTACTCCACTGCAAAGGACAATTTCACTAAAAAGAAATAATATTACATGGTCAGGGACTGACCACACACCACTTTCAGTTACATGAACCACTGGTTGAGGGTTTCACAAAAGATGATATGGAATAAGCCAGAAAAGGCTGGAAGTGATATTCACGATAGTCAGATCAAAATCTTCAGTGACAAGTCAGATAAAGAAAAAAAATTAATGTATACCCATCAAAAAATCTATATGGTGAATTTTATCAGATGGGGTTGCTAGTGAAAGAGAGGATAAAATTTAAACTATGATGAAATACAAGAATTCTCCCAAAGACTATGACATTTAAATTTAACATCATGTATTTTTCACAATATATGAGAAACTTATTAGCCATAAATACAGAAGAAAAAGTAAGAACTATCAAAGCAACATGTAACAATTACCTACATAGTCCCACTATGAAAACATTTCACATGATACTGAGATGTATCAAAAGCAACAGGATGTAGAACACAGAGGCACAAATCTGTTCACTTATGTTCAATTAATCAATCCCTTGAGACTATGCTATACTTAGTTCTGGTTAATAGACAAAAAAATTGGAGAAATAAGGATGGCTTCCTGAAAAAAAAAAAAAAACAGCCGAAGATCATTCAAGGCAATAGTTTTCAACCTTTCTTTAACCACAAGAGCTTCTAGGATAACAAATTTAGCACAAATTCTGTCTGGTTTTACCTGTTTCCATCTCTATTTCACCTAAGAACCAAGTTAGAATCAACAAACCCTTTAGTCAGTTTCAACTAATGTGTTTTTCTACAAATTGATAACAGGAGGGAGAAAAATCAATTTGTCTAAGAAAAACAGATGAAAGGAAATTAAGTTCTGAAACCTAAAGAAAAAGGCAGCTAATATACTTTTTTCTCCAAAAATCCAACTTCACCTGACTCATTATGTAGAAGTTCTGCTCCTCAAGGCAGAGATTTATCTCTGCACCTCTCTAGCAGATCAGGCACCTGGTAAGTGTTTCTGAACGCCTAAGACCACTCTTTGCTAAGAAAATCCAATTGAAAATAAATGCACCTGGCTTACAGCAGAAACCTTTCTTAGCTAAACAGAGGGAAACACACACACATACACACACACGGCTCAACTGTCAGAACACAGGAATAAACTATTTTCAAGAGTTGGTTATCTCTAAGCATCCTTAGGACAAACAGTAGAATCATCTGTTCACATTAACAAATCTTCCTGAAGAGACCCAACCAGACAAATAGTTATTTTCTCTTCTAGGTCTAAAATTCTATGTTCGACCACCACACTGCAGGTTTATTAGAACTCAAGAAGAAGCCCTACCCTCCTTCTAAAGGATCTTAGAAAATAAACCTCACTCAGCACTGAATACTGTAAAAAACACAGAAGTCACTCCAGTGACTCAGTATTCAGCCAACTGTTTTTCTACTATTATATTTTTTTTACATCAGTATATCAGAACCATTCCAGAATTAAAAAACAAAAATACCTATTTAATGTCTTAAACACATCTTTGCAAACATTTTTTAAGTCATGACAATTTCAAAACAAAATTCCTAAGGGCTCTCTTACCCCCAACCTCTCTAATACTACACATAAACATATACTATGTGCCAGACATTATGCTCATCATGTCACACATAGTATCGAATTTAATCCTCAACATCCAATTAGGTACCATTAGTATCCCCATTTTACAGTTCAGGTACCTGAAGTCTACAAATGTAAAATGTAGGCCCCCGGTTATACAGTTAAGAGCAACAGAACTAGGACTGAAATCCAAACTGTCAACTTGGAGTTATCTTCCCTCTATTACTAATACCTATCCACACTCAGCATCTCCCTTAGGCTCTGAGCTTTAACCTTCTTGCGTATCTGTTAAGAGTTTCAATGTCAGTGACAACATTTAATATTAAACCAAAACTACAAGTGAAAAATAATTCCACTGACAGCATCTATTAAATCAGTAATCCGTTTAAATTTTTACTGAACTAAATGTACTGCTAACTGTTGTAAGGAATATAAAAAAAAAAGATATAGCACTTGTCCTCAAGAAATACAAAGTAGAAATGAGATGGTAAAAAGAACATGATTTTGATTTTTTAAAAAGTGAATGAGAAAAAGAACAAGAGAAAGGCTAAGTCTCAATGGCACTGAGTTCCAAGGGGATCACAAAGGATGGGCTGGGCAAGATGCCCACTTTTGAGCTTCACTATCTGCAGATGGCCATGCCTCACAAGAAAGACAGCCCAGAACAGCAGAGGCTGAATTCTGGAATGGTAGTTGGTGAAGAGGGAATGCCACGCAGAATGATGAGAAAGGTGACCTGATCACTCTACTGGTCTAGCAGAACTGCCACCACTCACAAGCTGAGCTCCTATGGGTACAGAATAGCAGTAGAGAAGCTGCTGAGGCCATTTTCAGCTGCCGAGGCTATTAAGTCCTTTCAATAAGTGTCCGTTAACTGAAATCACTTCACTTTGTTTCTATTCCTTGTCACCAGAAAGACCCTAACATAGGAACAACAAACTTAGAAAGGATTTCTCTGGAAAAGATTCCTAAGTCTTGAAATAAAAGACATGTATGAATGGAAATGAAGACAATTCTAAATGAGGGAGGGCATAAGACACTTTCAAAGGATGACAAGAAGGCTGATAAGACTAAGGTTCAATGCTGAAAGATGAGGCCATACTGGGAGGCAGATGAGCTGCATACCAGGAGCCTGGAGGAATTTAGCTTTAAAACACTTAGAAAAGAGAAGGCCATGGTGACTTTTAAGTAAGAAAGTAACAGGATAAAAATGATGGCCAATATGTATGAATACATGTTCTTAATCCCATAAAGCAAGAATAATACCTGTAGTTCTCATGAATGATATAAGGATTACATTATGTGCTTTTACCATGCATAGAAGGGAGGGCCCCAAACTTTTGTTAAAAGACTAGATGGAGACTTGGATTGCTATAGCAATCCAAGCAAAACTAGTATCCAAACTAGAGTGGGAACTATGGAAATGAAAAGACAAACTGCACATAAAGCATGCTGGTACTTCGAGTCTCAACAAAATTTCAATTGCCTTTAAGAAGGTATTTCCAAAGAAATGTGGCACCAAGAAGGTTCCATTAAGCAAGCAGAGAAATATCCTGCTATCCTGAATCAAGTATCAAAGTGTGCATGAAAGAAACTTAAAAGGGTATCTTTTCCAATTAAACATTAACTTATACCTGCTTCCCATGAGGACCACCTTAAATTTTTACTATTCCCCCACATATTAACCTTTATGAAATCAAAGTATATAAGTGCTTATAATTAAAAGTTGTGTGGCTTGTATTTTCTTCCCCAAAAGCTATCATTAAAATAATAATATACTTTATAATATGTGTGATCTTTAAATAGAAGAAATATGATAATCTTTTACATTTTCATATACTCATAATAAAAAGTGTAATTAGCATTAAAAATGTTAGTTTAACAAGACCATTTTTTTCACATCCAAAAATGAACATGGAGAGCCCAGAACAATTCCATATGCTTCTGAAAGGTTAACTTACTTGGTGAGTTTTGTTTTTCTGATTAAACCCCATGATTAAGGATAGTGCTTAAGTGTTCTAATTCCACCCTCAAAACCTACTTTCATAGTAGTGTCAGAAGTAGAGTCTCTGCTTCAAGTAAGTTAACAATTCTTCATAACATTAAGGTGCCTTCCCCCAAAACACAGATACATATATATTTCAAACGAATGCTTACTGAAACCAACACAAATGGTCTTTAAGAAGACACCCTACTATATAAAAATGCATCATACTTTGACTTGAGAAATATACTTACTTGTGCTTGAGAACAAATTTCACATTTTTGTAGGCAAAGGCTACCAAATAAGTGCTTACTAGGGTCATCACGCTATACAGAACAGCAGACTGAATAAGATCCATATGCCATATTCGCCAGTATAACCCTGAAAATTAGAGGGGGCGGGGGCAGAAAAAGAAACATTACGACCCAGTTACAAAAGCCTGCTGGATTAAGTATAGGTAAGTCTGGTAAAATATAGTCTAGGTCAGGAAATCCACTATAGTATATGCAGACTTCAGAAGTGGGATACCCAGTAAAAACTATCAGGGTTACCCAATTCAGAACACTTGAAAAACAATCTTCCAGATGCGATTTCTGCTTCTAAAATGAGAACTCTAGCTCAACAAAATCACAATTTAGGCTTCAAATTTCATTCATCAGGGTACTATTAAGTTAAATACAGACCACGCCAAAATGCCACGCGCAGTCCTAAGCCAGTTTACGTGCTGACGTGGCTGTTCTCCGAAATAAAAGCATGCTCAGTGCAGCCAGTGAGCCACAGGGCTTCACCCCACGTTAACTGCACTGTGAGTTTTATAAAGCTGAAAGACAAAACAAACCTGGATTTGACCGCCTGACAACAGTGTAGCAGTGTGAGAGAGGAAATTCAAATTCGGGAAACCTGGGCCCTAAAAACAACTTTGGCCAAGTCTGCAAAATTTTTCCATCCAAGTGAGAATTGCCCTAATAGGATGGTTAAAAAATTTTAACCAAGGTAAATCGCTGGCTCTTGCCACTGGACCAAACTCGCTCATTAAATTAGGAAAATGATGCTCAGCAGTGAAAAAAAATCCACGGAAACCTACACTTTTAATTCAGTGCGAGAGTTCATGGGAACCTCCCCCATCTTTAATTCATTAGTTTCTCCAAAATAAGTAATGATGTAAGTTTAAGATCTCACAACGGCAAACGACAGTTGGGGGGTGCGGGGGAAGAGAGCAGGCTCTATGCAGGGAAGTCAGCACCCGACCTTAACCAGGATGTGTTTAAATACAGAGTCGGGCTGCCATCCCAGTACTGGCGAACACCATCTCCGCGACTGGGGCCCGGGAACCACTGTACTTCTGCAACGCGCCACAAGTGACTTTGCTGGGATGCCGCCCTCCACTACCCCACACGAGAACTGTGGGGGCGGCAGGCTCCGTGCTCCCCCGAGCTCAGGGCGAGCGGGGAGAGCGCGAGCCGAGGGCCCAGCGCGAGCCGAGGGCCCAGCGCTCGCTCGCGCCGGTGCGCCGGCCACTGCCACGTCCCCGCCCAGCCCGGCCCGGCCCGCCGGCGTCCTCCCTCCCCGCCCGCTCCCAGCGCTCACAGATGGGGATGGCGGACACGATGAAGGCGTTCCCAAAGAACAGTGCGGAGGACTTGGCCGAGAGGTTGCGACTGAAATCCTGAAGGAGCAGGTCTTCCTCGGACTGCTGCTTGGAGCCGCCTTTGGGAGCCATGGTGGAGCCGGAGCCGCGAGCCAGGAGGCCGAGGCAGGCGCGAGGCCGAGGCAGGCGCGAGGCCGGGCAGAGGCCTCTGGCTCCGCCCCCACGGCCGCCTAATCCGCTAACGACTCGTCAGCCCTGCGCGCGGAGCAAGCTTCTCCACAATTGGTCCGCCCGGCGCTGCCCCGGCCTGATTGGGCGAGCCGGCCAGAGTTCCGCGTTCCTGGCCCGCCCCTTGACGCGTGGGCTTCCAAAAGAAGGCTGGGGTTTGTAGTTAAGCGGGTGCTTTTGAAAAAAAATTAACAAAACTTTATTGACATTCCACTTATCGAGCTTCTGATAGACTGACGCTTTCCTAGTCTGGAATTCCAAAGTAAGAACTTCTGGCCTCGCGTAATACAGTCACTCATTCTACTAGTGGTTAGTACCTTCTCTGTGTACCCAGGCTGGGGCGTAGGAGGAGGAAGAGGAGAAAGGTAAGTATAGCAGCTAACACGTGTAGAGTGCCTTCTCCTTTACATATCCATTATTTCATTGAACATCCTCAAATTCTCTGTTATGCATATCATTGCCCCGTTTTGCAGGTGAAGAACCTGAGCGTGGGGAACCAGCAGCGTTGGTCTGCGGTGCGTGGGCTCTTTTCACCCTAATAAAGGGCTACCTTTGTACGAAAAAGAAGGCACTTTTGATTTTAAGAAACTCATGGTCTCAAGATATTTAACATGTGTCTAATACATTTACAAATTACTACTATTTTATTTCAACGAAATCTTTCAAGTAGTGTGGTCTCCAGAGCCACGCTAAATTAAACACAATACTAAGTAAAGGCAACAGCCTGGTCAGGCCTTCTCTGAAGCTCAGAAAATTAAATATGTTTATTAAAACAACTAGATACTTTTTTTTTGGTGGTACGTGCTCCTATCGGGAACCGAACCGGGACTCTCTGGTCCACAGGCTGACACTCAACCACTGAGCCAAACTGGCCAAGGATAGATACCATTTTTAACTCATCAAATTAACACTTTTTCTTCAAAAAAAAATACTACTCAACCACTTCACTTTAAGCAAACGCTTCTGTCATCTACATTATGGACATCAAACAAAATTTCCTCCAGTTTCCCTATCAGATTTGTAGATCTTTCTCCCTCACCTTATCCAAATTGTAATCTACCTCCACAGGTTTCATTCTAATGGCTTTGTCTTCAACCTTTTTCAGTCTATTCTCTACATAGGAACCATAGTGAGTTTTCCTGGGCTATAAATATGTGCATTATCTACAGCAAGTATTCCCAAATGCCAGTTTTCACCAATTCACTGTAAAATAAGAAAAAAAATAGAGTAGTGAATTTTTCAGAAAACTAAAAGTATTCATTTTTAAATATCTGCACTTGTGTCCCTTTCTGATGTTAAAATACTTTTTCTTTTATTATGTAATGATGGTAATAGTAGAAGAAACTCTTATTTTCTCTTCTAAAATACTCCTCTCTCAGTTTTTCCTGTTTAATAAATCACTTCCTTTTTCTCCCATTTGTTGTGGTTTAAATACTAGGTTTCAACACTAATTTCGTTCTTCTCCTCTCCAACTGTGACCAATGCATCAACAAAACTGTTGGGCCTGTCCCTGTAACTAGATTTCCTGCTTGCTGTTTGTAAAATAAGTATCTATAAATGAAGATGGGAGGTAAAATCAGAGAACTATAAGGTCAAAAGGAACAAAAATCATCAAGATATTTTTTTTAAAGAGGGAAAAAATAAAAAACAATAATGATTAAAAATAATTATACCTGAGAAAAATATTTAAACAGAAAAGCTAACGGTGTGGAATATTAAGTAAATAAAAGAGTTAAAATTGACATAATCAAAAGGACTAGGTGAGAAAAATTAATACACTTTGTACACCAAGAATGAAAACCTAAGATAGCCTGGCCAGTGTTGTTCAGTGGATTGAGTCCAGTCCCATGGACTGAGAGGTCCCAGTTCGATTCCTGGTCAGGCACATGCCTTGGTTTCAGGCTCAGTCCCAGGAGGGGACATACAGGAGGCAGCCAATGGATGTTTCTATCTCTCTCTCCCCCTTCCTCTCTCTCTCAAAAAATCAATGAAAATATACATTTTTAAAAACCTAAGATAATAAATATAAACAGAAGAGAATCTAAAATAGTAGAAACTTAAATTTTTATAGGGGTACGTTAAAGAAATATGATAAACAATTATGCTCATGACAGAGAAAGTTTTATGGTGAAGATTACTGTATAAAGGTAGCACACTTGAAGTACTGAAGCAGTGTTTTCTTATTCCAAATGTTATCTAGTCCCTTTTGAAGAGCAGCAAGATCTAAGGATGATTTATGTATGGCTTCTATGGTCATGGCATATGGGACAAGCAAAGTAAACAATGTGTAAAAAAAAAAGGAAGGAGAGACAATAGATTCTATCCAAACAAAGATCTGCAATATATTTTGGCTATTTCAATGTAATTCAACTCTATGAAAGTACCAGATGGATTTGATTTCGTATCAGCCTGTTTCTAATCTGTGGATTTCAGGCTTAACATTTCCATTATATCACTTTACATTTATCAGACTGGTGAAAGAGAAAGAGAAAGAGAGATTGATTAAAGCAATATTTATTGCTGTCACGGTTATGGATAACAAATTTCTGTCTACTGCTGATGGCTTTGTGGAAGAAAATCTGGCCTGTTAAAAATTAATATATCTTTCTGTAGCAGACACTGCAAGTTGCCTAACCAATAAAGAAAATAAAAACACTGCTAGCTTTTCACTGAAACCTTATGAAGAGAGTAACATATAAATCATCCAGGGCTATAGGGGCAGAGAAGGAGCTTCTGTGGTAAAACCCATTTGAACAGCAAATCTCATTATGGAAATAAATTTTGTAAGAAAAGATAAAACACTTATATTAGTCTCTAGGTATAATATTTCAAAGTCCTACCTGAAAGACAATTTACTCTATTAAAATACAAATTTCAGGCACTGGTGTATGATTAATCCATTGGTTCACAATTTCTACAAATATTTTTTGAGAGGTCACTACCTGAAAGGTACTATACTAGACCCTTGGAAGTAACCAAATAACAATCATGATCATTGTGATTATAATAACCAACATTTATTGAGTCATTGTTATATGTCTAGCTCTATGCTTGGTCCTTCACATACATCATCTAATTTAATCTTTACAGCAACATTGTGTTATCATTATCCCCATTCGTTAGATGAAGAAACTGAGGAACAGATTAGTAAAGTGTCAATGATAGAAACTCCAAACCTATAGAAAAATTTTACAAGAGTTTATTTTAACCAAACTGAGAAAAGCCCAGAAGCAAGACCTCAAAGTATTGAGAAAACGCTCCAGAGAATGGCAGTTTTGTAGTTATCTTTATACATGCAGAGTCAAAGGATCAAATGTAAGGAAGGCTACATAAAATCCATTAGTGGTAGATTAAGGAGGCAGGAGAAAGCAAGGCAGGGGAAATTTCTAGGGTTGGATTAAAAGTAAAATGGAGAAGCACATACTTTTATATTGGTGGGTACAGGAGAGTTAACATTTAACATTAATAGTAAATCAAGATGGTATTCTGGCAACAAGATAACAATAAGGAATTTCAGAATCATGGTGCTCTGGTTATGTCTAAAAAGAATTTGGAAAAGATTACTCCAGCATTTCAAAGGTATGTTATCCTAGATGTATAAGAACAATGTACAGAGCTGGCGTAAGTAAAGATTAGTCTTATACTAGGGAAGCTATAGGCCTGGGGTGTGACTACCCACCATGACCTGCCTAATTAGGAATTTATAATCAGATCACCCCAAGTGGTTATTTTTGGTCACTGAGCTTATCAGGCTTGCCATATAACCAGCCCCTTTTTCATTCACAATAGTAACTCATCTAAGATCCCACAGCCAGTAAGTAATAGAGTCAAGTTTGAACTAGAGGCAATATGACTGGGATATATGCTCTTAATTGTGAATGAGTTCTGTTCTCCTCTGGGGGGGGGGGGGGGGCGGGGGAGAGGAGAGGGGCTGAAGATTGACTTAAAAACCAATGAACAGCCCTGGCCAGTTTGGCTCAGCGGTTAGAGCGTCGGCCTGCGGTCCGGAGAGACCTGGGTTCGGTTCCCGCTAAGGGCACGTACTTCGGTTGCAGTTTGTCCCCGGCCCTGGTTGGTCGTGCGGGTAGCAGCCACTCGATGTGTCCCTTCACGTCGATGTTTCTCTCTCTCTCTCTCCCCTTCCTCTCTCTCCCTCCCACTCTGTCTGTACAAAAAATGGAAAAATGTCCTCGGGTGAGGATAAAAAAAAAAAAAAAAACCAATGAACAGTGATTTCATCAATTATATTTACATAATGGAGTCTCCTTAAAAACCCTAAACAATGGAATTCAGAGAGTCTCCTGGTTGGTGAACACATGAAGGTGCTGGGAAGGTGGGATGCCCAGAGATAGCATGGTAGCTCCATGCTTCTTCCCACATACTTTGTCTCATGACACATCTTTCCCGTTTGACTGTTGCTGAAATTTGTGTCAACCTAGGAAATGTCCACACTTGCAGATTAATACTCTGGAAACTGACAGTTTTGCCATTTCTTTTATTCATTTGGAATTAAGAAGGGAATATAAAGGCAGATTACATGAAAGTGGGAGAACGCAAGGTGGGGAGTGGATTCCAAAATAGTTAATAAGACTATGTGGTCTCTTCAAGGTGATTATGCTTCTGAGGGGTCTTTAAAAGAGGTATTTCAAGGGTGTATTATCCTAGACGCATAGGAACAATGGGCAGGAAGCTATAGCCCTGGGATGTGACTACCCTATGACCTGCCTATTAGGAATTTATAATCAGATCACCCTGTGAAGTTACTTTCGGTCACTGTACTTGTCAGATTTATGATAGAGCCCTTTTTGTGTAAAGTTGTATTCTTTATAATAAACCAGTAATAATAAGTAAAGCATTTTCCTGAGTTCTGTTGGCTCTTCTTGCAAATTACCCAAGGAGAGGGTCATGGGAACCCTCCATTTATAGCCAGTTGGTCACAAGCACAAGTGA